AAGCTATGACGCAACTGCGCCATCTTTTGGCATTTCCAAAAACTTCATCGTGCATTAAAAAATAATGAGATGGCACTGATGTATGCTTGAGTCATGCCATGCGGAACCAACCAAATTTCAGTTGGTTGCACCATTCGCTGGGATTTAGCTTGGAGGAAAAGCATGAAGGTGGGGGTTACGAGAAACTGCCTAATCAAAGATGTTAACAGACTAAATCAAATATATTTTTCGAAACGGGTTCCCTTTATTTTTTCTGCCCCTCACTCAAATTTTTTTTTAACGAATGAAAATTTAACTTTTCAACCCCAAAAATTTTGGAATGCGGAATTCAGACCAAGAAGAGGCTACGTTTTTCTTTCAATATAACATTTTTCTCTTACGCTGAAATCTTCTCGACGGAAAAGAGCTCTTTCAGTGTCTTTCTTTACTGGGATTTAGGAAGCAATGTCCGAAGGTAAAAAAAGAAATAAGACAAATAAATAAATAAATAAATAAAATTACTTTAAATTAAAAAACCCTTATCTTACAAATTCCACTCATTCCAATCTTCCAACCATACCATGCTCTCGATTCAGTCAATGCAAGAGGTCAATAAGTAAAAATACAATAAAATTGTAAATCACAATAAATAAACAGAGGACAAATCATGTAGCAGTTACTGGAACATAGAATGTTCCTACACTGATAGTGAAGCAGAGCCGTAAAAAGGGAGGGCACCTGCCCTGGGGCGCCACCTAAGGAGCAGGACGCCGAGAAGGGAGGGAGGCGAAGCAAGCGAAAATCGAATGAGGCAGAGAAGAACGAAAAGGAAAAAAATGTGTTGGACAGTGAAAAGAAAGCTGCAAAAAGATGGAATGGAGAAGTTTCGACTTTGGACACGCATCGATATTTAGTCCTCGATGCGTTTCCCGAATTGGAGATAGCGCTCGGAATTTTTCTTACCCTTCCCTTATCAATTGCTTCATGTGAGAGAAGCTTCCGCAACTTGAGCTTATCAAGACATACATTCGATTCACGCTGAGCCAAGAAAGGCATTGAAGCCCTGGAATGCTTTCCATGAAAATTAAGAAGCGAAAGAATTGGATTTTGACTATATCTGAAAAGCAAGGAAAGCAATGTCGTAGTTATCGAGGCAGACCCATGTGCGTGCCAATTAATAATCATGGGGATACTCATGAATTCACGACTATTCTATATATTCAATACTTGAATGAAAAAGATGTCGGGTGTGGAAAATGCCATGGGGGGGGTGGAGCATTCATGACACCCTGCCCAGGGGCGCTATATGGGGTTATTACGGTCCTGGTGAGGTGGTGCCTAAATCGCCACCGTGGCGAGTAACTTTTGAAGAGTAAAGGACTATGCCTACATCCCAGAGGTGGTGTTTCCTGGACCCTTCAACGGATTCAAACTCAAATAAATCCCCCAAAATCGTGAATGATTGGTTTTTGGAGTGTAAATCTTGGACTGATGCACCGTGGTTTGACCTACAGCGCTTCAATCAGGCCTCTTTGCTCCCTTTAATTCACTCTGCAATTGCATTCTGTCATAACTCGTCGGTCTGAATAAGGATGTATTGATAGATTGAACCATGAGCGTGGGTGAAGATCGCAGTGATCAACGCCTTTCACTCTGAAATGATTCCCTTCCTTGGTAGAAATAGGAAAGAAAAGAACCAAAAGGTCACCTAATTCCGAATGTCGACTTTCCACGGGAAGGAGCTTTCTCATTCTCAAGGTAAAGGTCACGTTTTCGAGCCGTCGTATCGACTGCAAGCAGAGATAAGGATGGCTTCAGGAACTTTGGTGAAACCATCAAGCCTGACGTTTTGAAGCGCGAACACACCCGTTTCCATCAATAACTTCAAAACACAACAGTGATTTTCGATTGATTGCAAACCCCCCTACCCCTTCTAAACGGCGCTATATGTAATCCAACTGAGCGACACCAGCTACTTCAATGTATCTGTGCCTGGCTAATTCAACGACTGAACAGGGAATTAAGTCCTTCCCGCTTCAGCCACAGCAATCAATCGAAAATCACTGATGCGAAAGAAATCCTAACGTACTGGATTTTCGGATTTACTTTTAATCATCTACCCCCCTGGCACTATTGACAACAGTGCCGGAGAGACGCCGAGTAAATTGCAATCATCGCTAATTGAGAAGAGGTATGCTAATGAGTGAAGCCGATATAGCGACATCGCTGCCTGAGCGAGATAGCCACTTTTGCACAACTCGACGGTAGAACCCATAGAAAAGCATGAAACATACGTAAACGGGGGTAAAAGTCAATCCGGAAACACCGTACGTTTCGCCACGCAACGTCAGCCTAAAATTACTTATGACTTCCTCCCCAGCAAACATAGTAACGTTGTGGGAACGTTCCCCCAGGGTCAATACAGTGTCATCGACATTGAAGGTGAAAGACCAACGTTGCGTGAATATTGTTGCAGTGTTATGGCATTATGATACCTTTTTAAATCGCATTTTAAAATAATATTTATGGTAGTTTCATGGAATATGCATCGCCAAATAGGGAAAAAAAAAATTTTCTCGCAAAACGACAAAGAACCTATCCATTGTTACTACCCCAGTAATACCAGATATTGGGTGAATGCTGGACCAACATTAGACAAGATGTCTACATGCATCTTGCCATTATTTCCAATACCGGCTAAATATTGGCTCAATATTGACTTCCCAATTTTGCCATTCCATCATCGATGCAATATCAGACTGACGCGATGATCCAATGAGCCCAATTTCCACGGAGGAGTTAATTTTAAGGAATTAGACGAACCACTAGCGCTAAATATTACCAGCCGCCACTGAGTGAAACAGCCGACCTGAGAAACTGAAACGAGGTGCGAAAAGGGTCTCCCATTCCCTCAGGGCGTGTTCCCGTGCCTTAAAAATGCTGTTGGGCCAGAAAGGTTAGACATCTAATGAGACAGCTAATGAAAAATGACATTTCCCGGGAAAACCTAGGCCCGGGAATTTCTTCTAGTCGAAACAAGGCTTATGACTAATATTTCGGGAAGTTAATAAAAACTCTATTGTGTACATTGGTTCCGATATTCATTTCCTTTTCAAAGGGGGCAGAATGGGGAGAATAGGTGGGTTAGAATTTTCTGCAGAGCAGGAAAGGGAGAATCGTTCCCTGGAAAGTACTTAGATGATTACTTTTAGAACAATATAGATATCCCATTGTTGTCATTATTTGCCCACGATTGGGATGTTACTAGGGAGGGAGTGAGCATTCCAATAAGTGACATTGCAATGTTGGCCAGTGTTGAATTTCAACGTTCATCTGAGTATTCCGATGAGAGACATTGAAATATTGACTTAATGTTAGATGCAATGCCACCACAGCAGTGGGAAGGTTCAAATTTAGCGTTCATACATCGCTGATTGAATGTTCGTTTGTTTGCTGGGTATGCATTACCCAGCAAACATAGTAACGTTGTGGGAACGTTCTCCCAGGGTCAATACCGTGTCATCGACGTTGAAGGTCAAAGACCAACGATGCGTGAATATTGTTGCAGTGTTATGGCATTATGATACCTTTTTAAATCGCATTTTAAAATAATATTTATGGCAGTTTCATGGAATATGCATCGCCAAATAGGGAAAAAAAAAATTTTTTTTCGCAAAACGACAAAGAACCTATCCAGTGTTACTACCCCAGCAATACCAGATATTGGGTGAATGCTGGACCAACATTGGGCACGATGTCTACATGCATCTTGCCATTATTGCCAATACCAGCTAAATATTGGCTCAATACTGACTTCCCAATTTTGCCATTCCATCATCGATGCAATATCAGACTGACGCGATGATCCAATGAACCCAATTTCCACGGAGGAGTTAATTTTAAGGAAATGCTGAAGTTCTCCTCTTGCCCACTAGATGGAGGTACGGTTCTCTTAAATATTGGCTCAATATTGACTTCCCAATTTTGCCATTCCATCATCGATGCAATATCAGACTGACGCGATGATCCAATGAGCCCAATTTCCACGGAGGAGTTAATTTTAAGGAAATGCTGAAGTTCTCCTCTTGCCCACTAGATGGAGGTATGGGTCTCGCTTTTCGCACAGTACACAAAGTACACATCCCTCTTTCCATGGAAACATCCCTCAAAAGAGTGTTTATTACCTCACCATATGTTTTTCATCGCCTCATTATAACAATCGATAAAATTGGACACTTATTAATTTATTATCCATATATTCGAGACAGAAACATGGAGTCCAGGCAGTAATTAAGCTCATACTCCTTATGAGAAACCTTACATCGCAGTGCACAATTGACCTAGAAAGAGTTTTGCGACCTCGTTACGTGTACGTTGGCTCTATTCTTGGCATTTGGAAGGGAAAATTAATTTTCCACTCTCAGTGAAACTAAGGAGGATTTCTGTACTCCACAGAGCAGAAAGGTGATAGCCGTTCACTGTAAATTACTAAGATTAGTACTTTTAGAATAACATTTAATCCATTGCCTTCATTATTGACCAATTACAGAATGCTACAAGGGTGGGATTGAGGGTTCAAATAAGTGACATTGCAATGTTGGCTCAACGTTCAGCCAGTGCTGAACTTCAACGTTCATCTGAGTGTTCCGATAAGCGACATTGCAAAAGTGACTTAATGTTAGCTGCAACGCCAACCAAACACTGGGAAGGTTCAAAATTAACGTTCATACAACGCTGATTGAATGTTAGTATGTTTGCTGGGTCGTTTCCTCTCAGGTCAGTGGTTCCATTCGTCCAAGAGTACGCGTTTTAGAGTGTGGATGCCGCAAGCCATATTGCTGACTATTAGGGAAATAACAGGATTCTAAGACAGAGGGATAAAAAAAAACGTAAATATTTGCTTTAAATACTCTAAAATCGCCAAAATAGGATGATTCTGATAGAGAAGGTGAAACCGCGAGAAACGCTCCTTGCGACATTTGGAGTCTGGCAACACTGTTTAGTCCTGTTGACCAGTGGCGGGAATACTTCTACTTCAGGAGTAGCAACCGCCGCCCAGGCCGCTTCTCCATACCGTCCAAGCAGTTGCTTGAAAGCGTTTTCCATCCTTATTTAGTTACGCCTACCTGAATCCTCGCTCCGCTTATCCACGTTTCGCCGAGCCAACTGTGAAGACTTCCTAGCATATATAAAAATGCCGGCGAAAACCAAAGACTACGACAAAGAAAAAGGTAAGCCGAGGAATAGATTTGTTTCTTAGGCCTAGTTTAGCTGGGCTATCATAGGCCAAATATATTGTTCGGTCAGCATCAGTATGATGACCCTTCATGGTTCTTGCCTAGTCATGTAGGCTTAGGGGTATGCATGAGCAGCGCTTGCAGAACCCATTGATGTTATATACCTCCACAGATGAAGGATAGACGCATCCTGTGATCGATCAGAGTGACAACTGTTGGTTGTCACTCTGGAGCCACTTGGTATACTTGGGTGTCCAAATGTATTGATTTTAATTGATTGCCTTGAAATGTGACTCAAGGTCTGCCAGATTCATGAAGAGGTCATTTTCAATGTTATTCAATGTGACTTTTAGCTCTTTAACTGCTGAGTTTTGAACTGGCAGTTTGTGCACCTGTGCAGTTTTTCTGCAAGCAGTGTCAAACACTAATGATATTCCCTGCAGAAGACAGTAGAATTCATTTACAGTCTCCCTGATCATGTTTACGCTGCAACAGTAACGAGCTGGAAATTCAAAGCATATATGCATGTCCATAGCAGAACGGGATTTAAAGGTCATTGGTGGAGGTGAACATTTTTTAACTAGGACATGCCATGCTGCTAGTAAGTTGTATTGCTTAGGATAGTGGTTTGAGTGTATATATGTAAAAAATAAAAGTTTAAAAAGAGCTGCATCTTTGCATTTGCTCTTGATAGCAATAGGACTTCCAATGAAGCCAACAAGTAGCAAGGCATTAGAGTTACTACAATTTTGTGGCATGAGAACAGAGAGCCATGCCACCCATTTTAGTAGCTTGTAAATAATAGTTCTGAGGTTATCTGGTTTATTGGTAGGGAAGTATGAAAATTCTTATGTTCAAGTCCCTGTAATTATTTGCTTGCATCTAGCATACCTTCATTGTAAGATCATTATACTCTCCTGAGATGGAATTTAATTTGGACTAATTAATGCTATCAGATTTGAATCCATGTTTATTGTATTTTGTTACTTGCAGAGCAAGTTACACAGTTCCTACAGGAGTTTTATACCCAGAACAGCCGTGGAAAGAAGGAATTTGTATATGCTCAGCAATTGGTGAAGTTAGCCCACAGGGAACAGGTGAGTCATGACATCATATAAATCAGTGAGGTCTCAAAGCCCATAGAAAACATTTTCATTGCATTTATGTTACTTCTGATTTGCATTTTTAGTTGTGTTATGTATGTGGAATCTAGAAGGCACCTTGTTATTTCCTTAATCTTGTCATATACCTGTCATGCTTTGCATTCCTTTTTTCCTTGGTATAAGCCTGTGAATACAGGTGTCAATCATATTGATGGTGCCTTCTCTAACTTGCCTCTGATCAATGCACCAATTTTGGTTAGAGGCTTCATATTTCATATATATTCTACTATTGGTAGTGGCATGTCTGGTCTGCAAAGTAAAGGAGGGTTTGTCCTGACAGCAGTCTCATGGCAAAATTGACAAGACAGGAGAACATATAATTTATAGTGCTAGCATGATAACCACATGTATTGTGGACTCCATCCTTTCCATGAGGAAAGTGAAACATTTTCAAAAGAGTGCCATAGTTACTGGGATGATGGAAAAGAAAAACCTTGGGCATGAACCTAAGAGTCATATCTCCAGCCTGCCCCATTTTTCTATGACATTTCTTTAATTCTTATCAGGTGTCTCTGGTCATTGACCTGGATCATGTAGCTGACTTCAATAGTGATCTGGCTGAGGCAATTCAAGATAATGCCCGTCGCTACACCAATCTCATTGCTGACATCGTGTATGAGTTGATGCCACAATACAAGGAGCATGAGGTAAGTACACATCAGCTCTTTTAAACATTTTCAGGGTGGGAGTCTTTCGAAATCAAGTGTCTGAAATAAAGGAATAATAAAAAGTTGTGAGAGACACTTCATGGATATGTCATGGATATATGGATTGTCAGAGGTTTGCCCCACTGGGTCAAAAAAAAGTTAATCTCAGTAATTTTGTGTTCATATTTATTTCCTTGTTTCTCAAAATTTTGACCTGAGTCTGTTTGCATCCATCCCTCAGCAAAAGTTTCCTTATTTCACAGAAACTATTCCAGCTAGATACAAGTCTTATGCTTCACTCCAAAATTCTTTCAGACCTCTCCATGTATTGAATCATATTTCAATTTTGTCATCAAATAAATTTACCAGTAAAAAATCTCCATGACCTTTGACCAGACAGTATGGTAGTATTACTCTTGTTTTTTTTTTGTTTCATTGGCAAGTGAGGTTTTGTCATATTCCATTTTGCTGACAAAATCTGTATGCTATGAGGAAAGTCCTACTCTTTTTGTCCCACCATTGCCTTGGACAGACCCTTTCCAAAAGCCATTTGGATGACTGACACCTGCAGAGTGACTTTTCTAAAAATCAGATTTGGGAAGCTGACCTAACCTGACATTTTCTGGCTACTTGTACTGTAATGAGAATTAAATTTTTGCGTTCAACGTAGTACACCCTTTCAAGTGATTTGTATCTAATCATATTCAGTTTTGGGAACAAAACTGGGCTTTTTCATTCTCAGGAAATACATTAAATGTCCCCCATAGACTATTGGACACTTGAAGGATTAATTTCTCATAATTCTCTTGAGTGTTATACTGCATTGCTACTGAATCATCTGTTTAGTACATGGATTGTTTATATCCCTCCTGTGATAAAAAGAAGGAAAATCCCATAAATTGTTTCCTTTGTTCAGCCAAGTCACGCAGACCTGTGCTGTCAATTGAGGTCAGAACATTTATTTTTGACCTTGTGCAGTGTGACCTTGCTTATTGTTGCATTTCTTAGGAGGCTCTTGTTTCCACCCTGGTGACAATTGTTTTTCAGGTAGCAGCAAAGGATTCATTAGATGTCTATATTGAGCATCGTCTCCTGATGGAACAGCGCTTGCATCAACCAGGAGATGTCAGAGATCCCCGGAATCATTATCCTCCTGAGCTGATGCGCAGATTGTGAGTGTTGACTTTAATGTCTTGTTCTTGCTGCATGGCATGTTGGTCCTCTTGCCCAAACCTAAGGACATTGAAGGTAGGAGGACTGCTGGTGTACAGCAAAAGTGAGGAATAATACCTGAATCTACCCAAAATGAAATACATTTTATGGAACAGCTATCTTGTTGCTTCATTGGTATAGTTATATTTTCTCAGCTCTTCCATTCCCTTGCACAAGGAAGAGCTGGTTATTCCCCTACCCTTTTGACTACTTACTTTTTGTTAAGATGACTCATGAGTAGAAGATCTTGCTTGAAGAACATTTGAAGATTGCACCTACCAAGCATTGAACATGATGTGATTTTGCATGGGATGAAATGAAAACAAACCAGATTTAACGTTCCCTGTACATGAAGGATGAAAACTGTGCTCCTGAGACTGAATGAACTCTTCTTCGTGCAGAAAGTATCATTAGAATGACCTATCCTGTTATTTGTCAACTTCTTTGAATTGAGGTTTGTCAACTAGGACCTATATTTTCTCTACATTCTCCCATATGCAGTGAGATCTCCCTGAAAGCCCCTTCCACTGCTAAGCACATGTCCATCCGTGATGTGAAGGCAGTTCACATTGGGAAGTTGATCCAGGTGAAAGGGATTGTAACACGAAGCAGTGAAGTGAAACCCATGATCCAGGTGGCCACATACACCTGTGATCAATGTGGTGCTGAGACATATCAGCCGGTATTTTTCCCAAGATGTCCTGAATTGTCTCATTTTAGAGATGAGATTCTAATTGCAAGTATGTTATTTTAGATCAATTCACTGAACTTCATCCCACTGCTAATGTGCCCGAGTGATGACTGTCGTGTGAACAAGGCTGGTGGACGACTCTATCTCCAAACAAGAGGCTCCAAATTTGTCAAGTTCCAGGAATTGAAGATCCAAGAACATGTATGTTACTTTTCTATCCATTGTTACCCACTTAATGATTCACCTTTCATGCTTGATTTATGTTTTCGGCATTGGGAAAATATATATAGTTTTGTAGTCTACAAGGCTCAGGGAACATGAATATATTTTAAATTTGAAAATATTTTGAAGAAAATTAGGTTAAAACATTAAATCAAACAATGCAACTTCATTATATCTACTAACAATCAAATCTTTATTTAATTTTGCATATTTCTTGATAAATCTGTACTACTTTCAGTATTCTAACTTGCCAAAAATCCAGAAAGAATATCCAGGAAATAAATTTCACTTTCATACTGAGGGACTGTGAAGGCATTATTTGCAACTCTAGCATAGGCATGTTTATGAACTACTTTGCTTAGCCTTGATGAGGTCTAGTCCATTTGAGTTTGTGGGTGTCATTCCTACATGACTGAGATTTTGTCAGAGTTATCCCTTGAATAAAAGCATGAAAGGTCAAGCTGTGGAGCATGTTTATATATATTGAGATTATATCTGTGACCAGAGTGACCAGGTGCCGGTTGGGAACATACCACGGACATTGACAGTGTTCTGTCGAGGGGAAGCAACCCGACTGGCATTGCCTGGGGATCATGTCTCCATCTCGGGGATTTTCCTCCCCCTCCAGCAAGCTGGCTTCAAGCAACTCTCTCAGGGACTACTTGCTGAAACATTCATTGAAGCACATGTGAGTTATTACTTAGATATGTTCACTCCCTACTCTTGAAGCAGTGCCTCTGTTGTCCACATACATGCTTATAGAAAAAAAATTAATAGAACACCTGAGACAATGTCATTACACATTCCTGTTGGACAACCCCATTAAAATACTATGTGAGCAATCCCCTCTTGTTTCCCTTTGAGTGTCATTTGAGAAAACCTGATGACTCAAACATCTTAAAGTACAGAAACAATGTCCAGGGGGTGCTGCTTTAGTGCAGATTTGGGAAAACATTTTTGCATTTCATTGATTCAATGCTGGTAGAAGATTTATTAAAGAAAATTTCTCAATTGCACAAAGAGGCAGCCAGCAAAAAAAAATAGAATGCATTGATTTTCCTTGTATCCTGTGCCTATTTAGTATCCAGCTAATTGGCTGGATATGCAATTGTCAGATTGTCTATCAAGTATTATGAGTACTGGCTGAATAATAGAAACCATTACAAATGGTTCTCGCTAGAAAGTCCTTGTAGCAGGTAAGACAATGCTGCTGCAAGGAGTGTATTGCACCGATACCCAACTCGAAGTAGAGGGGGCAAGGTAGAATTTGCTGGGGCATCTATCTTTGAAAGGATGGGGTCAATGAATTGTCAAATTTGCTCAACTATGTATACCATCATCTCTTTATCCAGTATGAGGCCAAAACTTTCATTTACATTACAATAGAGAAGGTGTGCTATACTGTCAACAATAGTTCAAAGATGTTGCCCACCATTCTATTTTGAGGTTGTCAATGCAACTTGAAAACTAAACTATATAAGACAATAATTCTACCTTTGATTTGATGATGAAAGGATGATAAGTGTTCTACCTTTTTTATTTTCAAGTTGAAACTTTTCTGTGGCTTGTGTAAAGATATGCTGCAGGGGTAATCAGCAGTATTACATTTGTTTATCACCATGTAGAAAAAACATGCCACCTCCTTTCCCCTTCTCTTTCTGGAGCATGATAATGCAAGAAGTTTCTTGGTAATCTACTGAAGATGCCTACAAATTAAATTCCAAATGAATTTGCGTACTTCTGTTGTGCTTTGTAATAATTATAATTTCTTATTCTTACAAATATCGAGGTCGATGGTCATCACTCCTTCTTTTTCAATTACTTCAATCATGCTTATTACAAGATTGCAAGTTGGCTGGATTTATTTGCATTTAAAAATTCTCATTGCTAATAATCTCATCAGTAATGAACTATTTAATTGTGAGTTTTTTTTTCCCCATTTGAAGAATGTATTGATCAGTTGGTAAGGAGATGAACCTATTCTTACCATAGGGTGGTGTAAGAGATTAGGTGGCTTATCCTTACTAGTCAAGGTGGATTCCATTCAATCAAAGAGTTGTTCTCAGACATTCTCTCAATGATTTTGAGAAAAAATATTGGCAACTCAATGATCAGACCAGGCTGCATTGTCAATAAACTGACCCAAATAGGTCCTTATTGGGTTATAACTAGGGCTGTCACAATAGCAGTTTTCAAAACATTGATGCATCGACCTGAACTATCAATGGTGTATCGATGCATCAGGTGGGGGGGGGGGCGCCGGAGGATTCCATCTTTTCTCGCCGCGATCGGAGTGCAGACCTCTATCCAGTTTCTATTATCTCATGCTTGTGATCAGGAGTGCAGGGGGAATGTGTGACCTTCGCAAAGAATAATGAAACCTACCATGCCTCCAACTATCAAAGATGATATCCATGCATTGATGGATGCATCAGGACGGCCCTAATTTTTTCCTATTGCCATTGAGAATCAGCTGCCAAGCCCCATTCACATAATTTTTTTTTCTCTTTTTCTTCATTCTACAATGTCTTTGGACATTGTCACTGCCAGATAGGAAACCTGCTGATGGTGCCATACCAGCGGTTGCCAAAACATCGGGTACAGCCCTAGTATAAGTAACGTCCTTGTAAAATATTCACTTTGAGTTCACCTTAAAGTAGAGATAAATGCCCCAGGGCTAGTTAAAAATTAAGAAAGTTAAGCCTGCATACTAAAGTGATAGATAGGAATATAGAGAGGGGATTAGCCAATGTTGGTTTCAAAATCAAGGGAGTATAAGAACAGTCCACTTCCACAGCATGCACCTGATTAGATCAAGCCGAAGACAAAAACAGAAGAGAAAAAAATATTATTGGTCTTCCCCCCTCTCCTTTCTCACTTCCTGTCTCTGATCCAACTTTTTTTCCCCCTTCCCATCTTTCTTATAGTCAGTCCCAGCATTTCCAGAATTTGATTGTGATAATAAATCGTAAGCCCATGTGGTTCACGCCACCTCTTCCTTTCCCTGCCCGGATGGACTATATTGTACTGTACTCGCCTCAATCCAATGGGACATTTCCTTTAAAATACTTTGCTGATACATTGCAATGGTTAAAAAAAACTATCGATAGTGGTATCAATGCATTGATCTATTGTGACAGCCCTAGTTATAACTGTCAGGAAAAGGTGAATAAAAATTCACACGTCAAGTTTCTCTTGGATTTGATCCAAGGTAGATATAATAGAACTGAAATATGTTAGTACCTACTTTCTATGTTATCCCCCTGCATTTGTGGATAATAGAACTTCATCTCATTTTTCACTTCCCCCCTTCAGTGTGTGTCAAAAATGAACAAGACAGAAGATGAGGAATTAGGGAGTGATGTTTTGACTGAGGAAGAGCTGGATGCTATCACAGATGAGGATTTCTACAACAAACTTGCATCTTCCATTGCTCCTGAAATCTATGGCCATCCAGATGTCAAGAAGGCTTTGCTGTTGCTCCTTGTGGGAGGTGTGGATAGGAACCCTCATGGGATGAAGATTAGAGGTGATCATATATCATACTTGTATGGACCTGGTTAAATTCTTCTCCCTAATGCATTGTTATGGAATTCCTCTCAGGAAACATCAACATCTGCTTGATGGGAGACCCTGGAGTTGCCAAGTCTCAACTCTTGTCATACATCGACCGCCTTTCACCAAGGAGTGAGTCCCTTTTTTGTCATCAACCCTAGTGGTTCAGGCAGTATTTGTAATCACTGCATGTTAATTGTTAGCCTCTCTTCATAATTTTGAACTCTGGTGCCAAGCTATTGTGTCACAGATGGTATCTTCTCTCAGATGCTTTTCCCATTATCTTATGTACATTGCTTTGACTTCTTCCACTTCTACATGCTGGTAATTCAGTGAAGAAAGAGGAATTGGCATGTATTTCTATTGTTTTGTGTCTGCTCCATCAGGCCAATACACAACTGGTCGAGGGTCAAGTGGAGTTGGCCTCACAGCAGCTGTCATGAAGGACCCCATCACAAATGAATTCACTCTTGAAGGTGGAGCCTTGGTACTTGCTGACCAGGGGATCTGCTGCATAGACGAATTTGACAAAATGCTTGAAGGCGACCGGTGAGTTCCCATGGCTGCTAATCATCAGTGAGAGAGCCTCATTAAACTAGGAGCTCTGAGTGCTGTTTTTATTTGTTCAGTATACCTCACTTCAGAAGCACAGTAGTAATTTCAGTATTTCCAGAGAGGATGTCATAATTTATTACATTCTGTGGGCTTCCCACTTGCTGGGAATCCATCCTTACAAAACTTAGAAAATAAAAAACTAAAAAGTAGTGTTAAATGATAAAAGAAGAAAAGTAATTACTGATTTGTGCCTGAATCCAGTGCCTGAAAAACTGGATTTTCTGTTTTCTTCTCTGCTTGTTGAGCCTTGGGTTTTGTTTTCACAGAAGCTTTGATTGATATTGTAAATTTCCCTAGTCTGTTCATTCTCTTATTACTTTCAAAGCTTGACTTTCAGGGAATAATTTACTTTACAGATTTATTTTCTTACCCTTCTTTGTAAGATGACTGCCATCAATACTAATTGCATAAGGCATTTCCAAAATTTCAAGGCCCAAATGCTGAAACCTCATATTGGCAAGATAAGCTACAGAGCACTTTTCCCTTTTTAGGATTCGATGCATTCTTAAAGAACCATTAACTGAAAGATGTTTCAACATTTAGGCCTTGGTTTCTGTAGAAGGCTGCAGCAAAAATGTGAGGACAAAAAATATTTTTAAAATCTCTTTTCCCAGGACTGCTATCCATGAGGTAATGGAACAGCAGACCATCTCAATTGCCAAGGCAGGTATCCTGACAACTCTGAATGCTCGGACAAGCATATTGGCTGCAGCAAACCCTGCTTTTGGGCGCTACAATCCTCACAAGTCTGTGGAGCAGAACATCCAGCTTCCAGCAGCTCTCCTGTCTCGATTTGATCTCCTGTGGCTCATCCAGGACAAACCAAATAGAGAGAATGATCTCAGGTACCAAGATGAATCTCTTCCAGCTTGAATATGGTTATATATATATCTCGGGTGCGACAGCCTACATGGGACAAACTCATGCGCAAACTTTAAATTTCCCAAATTTTGTATTTGCTAAATTCTTGGCTTCAAGGCTTGTATTGATTAAAGTTATATTAAGTGCAGTTTATTTAACACTATCAGCATGCACATATTTTCCACACACACTGTGCAAAAGTAAAAAACTGTAGCATTATAGCGCTTTTGTCAAAAGTGGAGTAAAGTTTATGCAAAGTCTGAGCTGCACTTGTTAAACTGAAACTGAAACATGCAAATGGTAGTGCAAATCATTGACTTTCAATGCCACTATTACTCTTTGCTGCATCAACTGTATTGCTAGTTCCAACAGCAAAGCTTCATATGACTGTAACTGTGATGCATTGACAAGTCCACGACACCTTGTGAGCCAAGCCCCTCGCTGTCCTGGAGTCACCAGCTGCCTCACAGGAAGTGCGTAGGACTTCAGGCCCAAATCACAAGCCGTACGCCTCAAAGTGATGTCAGACATGTCAAATTCTTTGGCCAGCTGCCTGAGACTCTTGCGCAGATTCTCAGCAACCGCTGCTGCCACTTCGGTCTTGAACTCTTCGGTTCACTTCAGATTGGGTGGCGCTCTTCCTTTTCTCTGAGTCTCTTGGTCGTCTCCAGCCTCCATGATGTGGTAAACAGTGGCGCGAGACACACCGAATGCCTCAGCGACGTCCTTAGCTGGCATTCCATTGTCTACTGCTCGCTTAATGCGCCGCTTCACGTCCTCACTGAAATCTGGGCCAGGCATGTCAGAAAATCCGCAGGTGGCTTGCTAGGAATTACCTTCTGCGCTCAGAGTGATATTTAGGAGCAAAATTGAACAGTTCGGTCCATCCGAAGCTATGGGTATTTAACCTTTAAATAGCAGGGTTATTTAGCGGAGTCCTAGGCCACCGTCTCACAATTTTCAAATAGTTATTGCCAGCCGAAAGCTCAAAATTTGCGGTAAAGAAAATGTCTTAAGTAGGCTGTCACACTCGGTATTGTCTACTCATGGACTCTTGTACACGCCATGAGATTCAAAAGTCATCTTTATCTTTATACTACTGGCTGAATATTTATGTATGCAGTAATTCCCAGTAAACCTGTGTGTGAGGTTGATTTTATGAATGGAACTTATAATTTAAACTGTCACATCTTAGTTATGTTGAAGGCATGACATGCAACAATATGTAAAAACAAAAAGTTGCAATCTCAGAATTATTCTCTTTTTTGATGAGTTGATATTACATTAGTCCATTTTTATGACAACAACTGCTGTCAATATCCCATGGAATTGCAAAAAGAAGTATTGTTATGAAGGCCTTAAAAAGCCTCAAGCCATCTCATTCATCTTAATTTTTGTCAGCATAAAAGAACTGATGAATCTGGTCTGTTTCAATGATGCAAAAGCTGAGATTGTGAGTTTTGGCTTTTGGGTGTTGATAAATGGCAAATTCAGATGGAGCAGATAGACAAAGATCTAAAATGCTTGCTCTGTCTTCCCCAAAACTACTTGTACTGAATGCAAGTTATTTCCCTATTTCAAGAATCAGATTTTATGCCATCCCTGGTTATTTCATTAAAAGCATTGCATTCCTTTTCATCTTTGAGGGGGCAAGCTATGGAAACCACACTTCATGGTGAAAGCACCTTATAGCTTTTCAGGAAAAAACTTTTGTTCATGCAGTGTCCTGAGTACATTGCCTTGATCTATGTTCAAAAAACAAGGCCCCCTGTAGTATTGAATTTAGGCATCAAGTCCATTTTCTGCTCTTTACATCTTTCCCTGATAACCCCTCATAATCCTTATCCCTGGTGAAATCACAATATTTTTCTTTCCTCACTTACTGGATTGAGCATATTCATGCTGCTAGCAAGAAGTATGTCATCTTTATCCCACACAGAAGTCACTTTTCATCCTGATATTGTGGACTTATACCATGCTCAATTGTTAGTTCCATGGATCAATACCTTGATCCTGCAAATCTTGTCAATTTAGACAAGAATCCACTTTGATTGCCCTGTTGTCTCCTCTTTCCCTTACTTGACCTTGCTCTCGTGTATACTGTCTGCTCCATTATTGTCCCTTCAATCTTCCTTCTGCTAGCTCTCTGGTCTACTTTACCCTCCTCCCTCATCCTAGCAACTGCATCAAAACATCAGTATTTTTTGCTTCCTTTTTCCTTATCATCTTAGTGGGGGAGTTTTTTCCATTCCTTTTTTTCCCTACAACTCTCTCATATCTAGAGTCATCTGTCACTGTCATGAGGCACTCTTCCCTGGGTGTCCTTATCAGAGTCCAGTTGCATGCTTGCAGTTGATGGGACAACAGTTGTTTTCCCCTCCTTCCTTGTAATCTTTCACATCACACTTTGCTCACCTGCTGACATGCTTTTTATAGTCATTAAAGCATGCATCCACAGCCTCTCCTGAGACTGAAAAATATCTGAAATAATCATGGAAAAGATCTTCAACTCATAGGTTTGAGAACAGATCAGGACATGGGAAAGCAACAAGTGTCTCTTGAAACATGACAGAATTATGCTCAGAGGTATGGTATGTCTGCAATGCAACATTGACACCTAAAACTCTTAGGGTTTAGATAGTAGTTTTCAAGCTTTGGGACAATACTAACTAAAAAGGGTATCAAATACTAAGCCAAGATTACATCGGGGGATGTGTGTGCATTAAAAATTTGAGTACCACTAGGTCATGGTGAAGGGCTTGCTTGCTCTGATTCTGTGGAAATATCCTGTATACATAACTAAGCTTTCTTTTCCTTGTCAAATGAATGGGAATCACTTCATATGGATGGTCATTGAAGAAAGTTGTGGTATCTGCTGGCCAAAGAACATGCTTTTGCAGGAGTTGAGCAATTTTTATTATTTTTACTATTGGCAGATTGGCACAGCACATCACATATGTTCACCAGCACAGTGAGAATCCACCAATGTCCTTCACTCCATTGGATATGCGACTCATGAGGCGCTACATTGCCCTGTGCCGTCGTAAGCACCCAACCATCCCTGACCACCTCACTGATTACATCGTCTCTGCCTACGTGGAAATGCGTAAAGAGGTCTGTTAACATCTGCCAATTAGCTGTTTCAGTTGGCATTTTCATAAACATGTCATGAAGCAAAATGTAAACAAGAATGGTAAAATCTGAGTTTTGTACAGAATTGCACTTGAATCTCTCATTCCCCCCCCCCCCCAAAAAAAAAAAAAAAATTCTCATTTCTCTGGACTGTGCAAGTGGCCTCTTAATTCATCATTTGTGTGAATGTTATCAAATTTAAAATAAATATAAAAAACAACTTCAGTCTCAAGATGTGAATTCAAGCTTTTTCATGAGATAGACCTGAACAAAATTCCAGCAGCATCTAACCCTGTCCTTAGCACAAATCCTTATTTCCGAGTCTACATATTGAAGTAAGAAAAAAAAAACTGGTTAAGCCTAATGGTGTCAGGATGTAGGTGTCTGCAGGAGTTCTTATTGTATTATGTTTCTTCCATTGACTGCTTTACTTCAAGACCCAGAAAAGTTTCAGGCTGGTCAAAAATGGCTTAATGGTCCCAGTTTACCATTCTAGAGACCTATTTGTGGTTTCATGGTTTTGCAGGTTTTATGGTCCATGCAATCCATGACTCAGCCCAATACTTTTTTGAATCTCACTGGTTTGCCATTTTCAAGCAGCCTGGAACATTTCCAGATCCTTTAATCCAGTGCTTAAGATACTTAGTCTAATTAAGGTCTGATCTTTTTGGGATGTTTAGATATGTTCATTTGTCTCTAAAAATAAATTGTTGTGTGGGCAGTCTGACATGATGCATTGCAGTGAAATTGTGGGTCAATGATCAAGGAATATCTTTGAGAATGTGACACCATTAAATGTTTGTGTTGATGACTGCAGGCTCGAAACAATGCAGACATGACTTACACCTCTGCCAGAACCCTTTTGGCAATCCTTCGACTTGCTACTGCTTTGGCACGCCTCCGCCTAGCTGATGAGGTTGAGAAGGAAGATGTCAGCGAGGCCATGAGGCTCATGGAGATGTCTAAGGACTCACTCAATCAATCCCAACAGGCCAAGAAACGGTACATTCCCCCTCCTCAAGTGCCTCAGTGATCTTTCATCTGAAAAAACTAACAATTATTTTCCTTTTCCTCTGCAGAGCCCTGACCACAACAGATCTCATCTTTGCCGTAATCCGAGAGATGCAGAGGCCTGAATCACGCACAGTTAAAGTCTCTGACATCTTGGAACGATGTGCCCTCAAGGTCTGTCACTTTCATAGGAAGGAAGAGAGGGTTTCCTATAACAGTTGTTATTATCAATGAATAGTTAAGCTATTCTCAAGCATACATTGTTCCTAGCAAATTACTTCACAGCAAACATTTCAGAACCAGCTGGGCAAATGAGGCATTGTTTTTTTGTCAGCCTCCATTCTTTCTGCATCCCATTCTTTAATTGCACACTGAATTGCATAACCTATATGATTAGATGACATTTGCAAAGTATTAACATATCATGTATAAGTGGCTTTGAAGGGAAACCACAGGGTAGGTTTCCTACCTGTGGAACCTTTGTACCTGTGGCTACATCTCTTGTGAAGAGCCCATGTGCAGCTTTCCATCACTTCTTCCAGGGGGCTTCTACCTGCACTGAATGCACATTCTGAAACAAACCTGTCTGGCAACAGCTTAACATGTAGTCATGAGTGTTCTTCACTCTAATTACACATGTCACTAATGTACTTTAATTTAAATTTTCTTAGCTTTTGGTTTTGCTTATGTCTGCTGCTGATGCAGTAAATGTAAAAGTAAAATGTATCCTTGCTGCATTGATTGTTTTATTGCACATTTGTGGTACTATTGTTTTTGTTTATCTGGACCCTCTTTCTAAGAATTTTTTGCTTCTCATCCCCAAATTGTGTTGACAATTTTTGCATTTTCTCATTCAGGGATACAATCCAGACCAGGTGGAAGAGGCATTGGAGGAGTATGAGGACCTGAACGTATGGCAGGTGAGCCGGGATCGCGCCACACTCACCTTTTTGTGAATCTTTTCATGCCATCTTATTCCAATTCCACATGACATGAACATGCTGGGTTTTTTTTAGCCTTGTTTTACTTCCTTGTCCTTCACTGTTCCCTTGGTTTTTATGGATGAGTCAAATGAAATGTCAAATTCAGGAGATAAATTCCCTGTAAGCATGAAAAACACTACATGTGAAGAGCAAATGCACTGAATTCATTGAGTTGCTTCCACATGGACATTTTTAGAGGAATTTTTTCTCGTTCATATTTTCCCCACCCCAGCCATTACTCCTTGGGCATTTTCCAAGTGTGTTGAGTCTTTCTGCTGAATAAAGTTTTGCTGATTCAGTGAGACCCTTGTGGCTATGTCATTCACTACTGCTATATGCTTCAATTCTATTCCAAAAGAGTGTGAATGCAGACCAAATCAAAATCTTCATACAGCAAGGTTCTCACTTGGCACCAAAAGAAGACTCCTATTGGAGTCAGTTAAGACACGTAATCTGTGCTTTGAACAAATATTTTCCTGTTTCTGCATGAGGAATGTGCTTCGATATAAAATAGCGCCCAAAAGTGAGTAGGCATGAACAGCTTCAGGCCAGCCGAGTTTCAATTAGCGCCAAATCAATTCAATTTGGTGGCGCCTATTAACTTTCGCCCCTTTCCCCTAACGAAACTCTGCCTCCTCGTATTCCTCTCTGAGAGCATCAACAAGTTCAATATTGGGCATGCGTCTTTCTCAACAGAGTCGCTCCAGCAATTTGGAAGTTCCATCTCCTCGGGTTTGCGGAGAACACCGAATCCCAGTTTTTTATGTTCATTTTATTCCCTTTTTTGTATTCCCCCGAGGAGGTTTTCAAAGGGAAGAGACCAACCAAACTAAATATATTCACCTGCAAATGACAAAAGTATATTTTGTTGTTTGCAATGCACAAATTCGCCATTAAAAATAAATGAAATTAACTGTCGTTCACTTAGGCTTAGCGTGCTGGATCCGGTCTCGTCTCCTTTTTCCCCGCATAATTTTACCGTGTAGTTAGTCTTGCAAAACAACCGAAAACGAATGCTTTATCAAGGGAATGAAATGAAATGATGGCTTATAGAAGGTAGTCGTTTGCGCACTGCTCACACTTCCTCAAAAACGACATACTATTTTTGGAAAAAGGGAACACACAAAAACAAAGCCATTGCTTTCAGACTATAAAAAAAAAGTTTTCTGACCCCTTCGCATCCACAAGCGCACTGGCACACATCTCGTGTCCTTCTGCCTAGCCTACGACCTTTAAAGGCATAGCCTAGCAGGCCTCGTTCGTCAGGCTAAGGTAAGAGCGACCGACGTCCACGTGTTGCGAAGATGACTCGCCAGACGATTTCGGAACTGGGCTGGGAGGTTTTACCCCATCCAGCGTATTCTCCGGACTCGGCCCCTTCCGACTATCACTTGTTCCGGGCCCTCTATGGTCATTACATTGTAGACTGAAATTGCATTTCAATAAAGTTATAAAATTTTTTAAAATTTGCGCAGTGTTGCAAGACTTTCTTTCCAACCCAATACTAAGTTGTTACTATTTTCTTTCCGGTTGGAATGTGTCACTTGTAGGATGTACTAGTGCATGTATGGATAGTAACTGCTGTTAGAGACTGCATCACCTTGAGTCACTTCCTGAGGTTCGCCTAGGTGTTGGGCATGACACAAACAGAATCATTCCCAACGCCTAGGACATGATTCAAGGAGGAACTAAAGGATCGATTAAAATGCGATTAATCGCTCAAAATTTTTAATCGATTGGCAGCCCTAATATATATATGTATATGGAACAAATTTGTTCTGAGCGATGAGATGAGCTGTGAATCGGTAGTTAGCTGTGGCCGATGGACGTGTTAGGATATGGAGATATACCGGGTAGCCTAAAAAAAAACGTTCCGAACTTTACACGCTTGCAGACAATGTACCATGTGAGTTATCAACATGAAATTTAAAGGCTTTTACATGAAATGTTTGCAGGCAGTGTAATTTTTTATTTTTTTTTAAAATTGGTTGTAGTCTCCGTGAGCAACAATTTCTCTCCTGCGGGAGAGAAATTGTCAAAAGAGCGAGTGCGCAAAGGAACGCGCCTGAACTCAATGAAAGAACTGCTTGATGGGTCCTCCGTGGATGTGTCCTCCGACGATCGCCCGTCGAAGCTGCACGCCAGCAAACGCACTGACAAACATGCTCATTTGACGACTTGTAGGGAAAGAGCTCTTACTCATGTTCAGAGCAGAGAATTTCATTGAAATTTTCCTAAAGCCAGCTACCTATATTGGGTATGACAGAGTGCAAATTTCAAGACGATGCTTCGCATGGTGTCCCGTCTGCAGCCGCACGAAGTTCTTTTGACAACCAATTTTAAAAAAAAATAAAAAATTACACTGCCTGCAAACATTTCATGTAAAAGCCTTTAAATTTCATGTTGATAACTCACATGGTACATTGTCTGCAAGCGTGTAAAGTTCGGAACGTTTTTTTTTAGGCCACCCGGTATTGCCCGGACATCCCTAAATTTGGCGCCATGCATTTCATGCTTCCTGAAGGCATCCTCTCCTCAGACCTAGTCGAGATGGTTCGAGGAACTCCCAGGAAAATTTTTCCAACTGGTCTTTTAAACTCGCTTCATTGGTTTCATTTGGTCCAATCGGTTTTACAACTGGAACAGTATCGGTATATTTCCAATGAGAATTTCGAATTTTGTCAATAATTTTATTTCCAACTAAAATGTTTGTCCTATTGGTCCGATCGGATGCTGAGAAACTTTTTCTTTAGTTGGAAAAATTCCAATCGGACCTACTGGTTACATTTCTGTTAAGTTCGGACATTTTGAGCCAATAGCCGGTATACACAATTCCAAGAAAATTTACAAAATTAAGGACTGAAAGGCCTTAAGACCTTGTTCAAACGGAAAGACAGTGACAGTTCCCAATGCAGTGCTTCTCAGCCTTCGTCGCAGCACACTAGTGTCCCGCGAAACACCGGAACACCGGTTGCAAAGCATTGTCCTAATGGATTATTTCAAATCGGAATTGATACAATTAGACTTTTTTCTGGGGCGTTTGGCTGAATCGGAGTGCTTCCGATTCTTTTTTTTTTTAAATGACAATTATATGTTATATTGAATATTCCTACTATTCATTCGATCATGAATCAGCCCTAACGCGTTTAGTCGCAGTCCAGCCCGGCTTGACCTTTCTGTTGAAGAATATCGAGTCATTTTATGTCTTACTTCACTTTCGCAATCATACAAGCAGTTTTTTTTTAAATAGGACACAGCACGAAAACCAGGCGGCCTTCATCAGCACAGAGAGAGGTCGAATACGCTCTTCCAGGGTTTCCTAAGTCAGAGCGCGGGCACGTTGGATATGTACCGGCATAGTTGCCATGCCCTACAAAATTTTATTCAAGAAAGAAGTGAAGTACTAAGAAGTAAAAGAAGTACTTTCCATCTCGGAAAGAGCAGAATCTTTAAACGTCGAGTGAGCGAATTCGGCTTATCGTAACATTATCTTAATGTTAAACACCTAAGTAGACTAGGCCTAGGCCTAAGAGAAGTCAAATACGTACGAGACTGATTTTCTAGTGCAGCGCTGCTTTTGAATATTTCAATTTGTTTTTCGTGACCTATTCTGTAATAATGCATTTGTGCCTTCATTTCTTTTTCTTCAGACAGCAAAAGAAATAGCGCATGGAAGAAAAAAAAGCCTTCATTGGAAGACGGTGAGACAATGGAAAAGCAACTCAAACGATTATAATCGCTCCTTGACTTGTTCCATGAACTCAGAATATTTTTTGCTTGTTTTCTTGGCGAAAACATTCAGTTTATCTTTTTTATGTCGCGATTCATCGAGCCGAGCACATTCCCACATTCGTGTGACCCACAAACTTCGAAACGTCCAGAAATAATGTAGTCGTGTGACTGAATGAATTTGAGCTTTTTTAACAAGGAAATGACGCTTTGAATATAGTTCTCTGGGCACGGGTGATTTCTTCATTATTCCCTTTGTTTTCTTTACTTCTACGAGCTTCCTCTGAACTCGGTTGGTTTTTATTTAATTGTTGGGTGATTTCGACCTAAATGCCGCTTCCTTCAGTTTTGAAGGCTGCTTGGATGCGTTGGCCAGCAGTTCACCATAAACTATGCATACTGTGAAACCACCTGAAAGCATCATTAAACTTCCGGACTGGTACTAGTTTTGACCTTTTTTACTGGAGGAAAGCAGACTTTCTGTCCCGGTGACTTCACCATTAGTACCAGTGCTTGCACTCGGTTTTATCAAGAAACAATCCATCTGCATATAAATGTCAAACTTAAAAAAAATAAGAATAAATAAATAAATAAAATCAGTTCAGTTCAGCAGAGAAACGAAATCGAAAAACAAACTTGGGCTTCTGCTCATAATAAAGGCTACCCTACCCTTAAGATTAACCTGACGAGTTTGGTTTGGCACTTATGATTGATCTTCTGTAATATATTTCTGATCATTTGCGTGTAATTCGTTTCATTCTAGAGAATGCATATGTGAAGTGGGGAGTATTGTTGCTCTATAACGATCGGCAAGGGCAAAAATGAATTCCATTAAATCCTGGATTTTGAAGGGAAAACAGGGGACCTCGGCTGCACTCTGCCGAGACCTTTGGGGAAGCGAGAAAAGGTCAAGGCTCTGTCGTGAAGGTGTGACGTGAGTGCACGGCTGCAGAAGTGCGACTCTTTCGCAAGCGTTTTTGCAATCAATTTTGTCTGCAAAAAAAACTGAAAGAAAGATGTGACCCGGGTTGACACGCACGTACAAATCTTTAATGAGGAAAAAAACAGGCACTCTTTTTTCTTCACAGAGAGAAAAACAAAAAGAGACTTTAGCGACATCATTCGTCCACGGCTCTTCCCGTCGACTCGATTGGCCGACTCAATTGGCAAATCAGCTACGATCACAGATTCCCATATCATGTTCGGAGACGAGAAGCGATGCTCTCGTGCGTTCCTCATGCAGGCCTTCTTTCGCGCGGGATGCAAATCACATCCAGAAGTACGTTTCCTTGCAAAAAAAAATCTTTGCAGTTGCGAGTCCGTGCAGAACGTCCTCCTTCGTTGAATCTCGCTTTCGTTCACAGTCGAGTGGAATGCCTTCGATTCGACCACAACCCTTCGTGATCCCTCTGGATTGGGGGGCGGAATTGACGATTGACAATGCCAGGCTCTCGTGCAGAAGTGGAGCCGAACGTCTTTGCTGCACTGCAGCTGAGTCACCTTGTCCAGTCGGGAAATCACTTCCTCGCTGCGAGGACCGTCTGCAGTATCTCAGGGGGGGGGGGGGGCGAATGCGACGAGGGGGGCGTTTGTGACAGGATGGCACTCGTGAGTATGGCACACGGAAGGGACTTTTTTCATGTTCTCGTTCGATCGCATAGGAAGAGGAGGGGGAGAGGGAGGGAGGAATCCCGAGGTATCACGGGCCTTCTCTGCAGACAAACAACACATAAATTCTCGGAGGAAAAATCACGTTAATCTGACATCACAGTTGACGCTGGCAGCTGCCGTTCTCGGTCGACGACCGAGTCGGGAGTATCACACGGTTCGAGTCCTGGGCCCTTCGCTTCACGTGGACGCGGCGAAGAGCGCACACAGGCACGGGAGGAGCGTGAGGAAGGACCCGAAAACGACGACCGAGGATCCGCTTGTCTTCACGACCACGTCCTCGTCCTCCTCGCCGAATCCGATGTCCGGTGGAGCCTCCGACGCTGAAACGAGAAAGTTCCAAAATCAAAATCTGCCGAAAACAGGAAGAAAGCGTCTGGCAGAGTTTCTCGACACCCCCACAGATGGCTCTGCCGGTCCGACCAGATCTCCCACGCCCGATTTTACAAGGCCGTATTTCCAGTCGTACTCTCGATCTCAGAGGGCGTGACCGACCTGGATGATGCGTGGGCGGACGAGGATGCGGCGGCGGGTGGATGCCCCCACCCGATCCCTCTCCAGACCCCTCCGCGCCCCCCCACACCTCGTAGTCCAGGTCCAAGTGGGGGGGCTGCGAGTGAGGATGGACGGCTCCGCTCCCTTCCTCCCCCGCTCCACTTCCTTCTTCCTCCTCGCTCGCCACCAGGCTTCCGTAGCCGTGACCAACGCCGGGCCATAAGCTCACCAGCTCCTGCATCGGACGGGGGACCGTCAATTGACGTCGATGGCGGTTACGACAAACAGAGAAAATGCTCTTTTTTCCCCCGGAGATTCTACATTTAATTAAATTCAATGAAAATTAATATATATATATTTTTTTTTCAAAAGCAAATACCCTCTCTAGTTTCTTTAGAATTAATAAAAATTTGCCGAACTCATCTATATCGATTCGGGGAGATCTTTGCCAAATCCTACAAAAAAAAGTAATACCTTTCGGTAGATGCGTAGGCGTTCTACGAAGCCGAGGACCTGGTGATCTGGGGCGGCGGGCGCCAATACCTCCGGGTTGGACATCTGGCCGCTCTGCCCGATCCCAGCGATGCGCCGCGAGTACCTGCAACACCCGGTACCTGTCAAGACCTTGTTTTGCGCCGTGAAGGTAAACAATCCTCGTTCATCCGCGTGCCGGTTGCCTCGAGAAATTATTTTTCCAAGCCTAGGGTTTAGATTCCCATCAAGCAGACGCATGACGCGTTTGTATCCACGTGCACGGCCGTTATCGCCTTCTCTCTTTTTTATGACCTTGCTTCTTTTTTATGACCTTGCCAAGAACTAGTCCCAGTCGATTCGGAATCCTAATCATGTGGATCTAAATCTTGGATTCAGTCTTCGAGAATCACAGGACACAAGACGAGACTCACAAGCGCGCTTGTGAGTCGGGAGAGATTCATCCTGATTCATCCTAATTCCCTAAATCCAATCCAAAGTCTGAAATATATATATATTTAGATTTTTAAAAATTCCTCTATTAAAAAACATTTGAAAGGAAATGTGAAAAAGGTAAATAAAAAAAGGAAATGATTTCACTCTCGGAGAGGAAATAGAGCCCCATTCATGAAGAGGGTGAGGGCGAAGATGATGGGATCGTGCCCCATCGGACATTGTTTCCCGAGATTCTTTCCCATGACCCCATGACGCAATTAGCCCCACCCGCGCATCCCCCCCGGGGCAACGGGCGAGCACCACCGACAAGGGGAGCCCCCAAAGGAGAACATCGCATTCGGGCGAGACTGGATGGCATCCACTCGGACGATGCCATTCAGGCGAGATTAGATGGCATCCACTCGGGCAATGCCATCCAGAGGTGACTGGATGTCATCCACTCTCTCTTGCGATGCCATCCACTCTCCCTCTCGTCCGAGACGCCGCGGCGCCCTCCACGCGCAACACGAGAGCCCGTCTCGATCCATTCTCTCCGCCCGCAACGTTACACCCCTAAAAATAAATGATACGCGAGACATCTTTTTTTTTTTCTTTGCTACGGTTGGGAGATTTCGTGATTCAATATTCCGTGCGTGTAAACTCCGCTCCAATAACGGCTCAATCGCGAAAGGAAATTCGACGCCTGGATCATAAACAAAGAAGAAAAAAAAATAAAAAATATTTACCTCTGAAGGCAGAGTGTTGTTATTTCTTGGTACTTACAAGTACTTACACATTCGTGACGTCACGCTCGTCACGATTCTTAACGAGCGGAACCGTAATTGGCTACGTTAATTAACCCGTGACTTGCTACTAAATTACCTGGACTGAAGAGAAAGTCATTCAATTACTTCGTCAATTACATTCTCTGCTTTAAAAAAAAAAGCAGAATTTCCAGAACGTCTAAAGAGAAAAAAAAAGAAAAATGTGGAAAACTGGGTCTGGAACTGATAAGATGGGCAAATAAAAATCGGTGGAGTTTGAGGGGAGATAATGAGCGAGTCGGGGAATCTCGTCCCTGGGGATATTATCGCCGTTCAATTAGGGTCGGGCGTCGGGCTCTAATTAATACGTACCCCCAACGGGCGGGAATGCGATGCGGAATCCCGTCTCGCAACATAAAAAAAAACGAGTCCTCGTTTGATGCTGGAACATGATAGGAGGAGGAGATGTCCCGTGAGGGGTCCCTGGCCCCGAGTGTTGCGTCATATCTAACGATTTTCACGTCGCTTCGGCTTCTTTCGCGTTTTAGGCGTGCGTTTTCGGGCTCGGACCCTCTAATTACTATTCAATTATATTGTACGCGAAGAATAATGCAATTGGTGATACGTGAGAGCGACATGATACGCGACAATGTCGACAACGTACTTCTGAAAAGCTCACAATTTACTCATCTCCATTGCTCCTTTCCGAAGGGGGAAAAAACAATAACAGTATAATAAAATCGTAAATAAATACAAAATCAAACAAATGAATCAGAGAAACTACTCCTTTCATATTAACCATTATTAATCATAAAGATAATAAATTAAATAAATATATATGGGCGATGAAAGCTCGAGCCTTACGTGCTAAAAATATGGTATTGGGTAACATGTTATCACATCGTCGACAACCTGCTGAAAGGACGAATAAGCAATCTCAATACATTTCCACCAATAATTCGTTTAGACTGAAGAATGATGAACGAGGAATGATTATTCATGAACAATGATTGAAGAATGTTCGCGTGTTTCTCAATTCTCGTTCCAACAAAGGGCAAATTCCGGCTCGCAAGCCGCTTAATTTCAGAAATTGATTAAATTTTCAATATTTGTTCTTTCGGTATGGTAAACGGTATACATTATAAATATTATAAATAATATATATAAATATAAATATACATATATCTCAAAGACGAAATTCCCTTTTTCGAGTTTCCTTTTCCTCGTGCAGACGGCATCTCGGACAAAGGAGACCTCCAGGAAACCTCGAGGTAACCGCGAGGAAACCGATCGCACGCACGCATTCCAGGTGCGCAGGGCCACGCATGTCTAATGGCCCGCTCTCCCCATAGGTCACGATTAAAAACAAAGCATCGGTGCCGCAGGGCAATTTTTTCTCTCTTCCCTTGGAATGCTCCATTATGGACATTCCGAAGGACCGGGTAACCGACCCCGACCCCTTTCTCTTCCAGCAAATTGGCACGTCGAGCCGATCTTTCGGCAAGTAGTGCCAATTTTTTGTCAGTACTCTGACACGCCGAAAAAAAAGGAAAAAGGGACCTTGTTGATATTAATTGCCGTCTAAACAAATTTTAATTGGAGACTCATTTCATTTAGGGCGTTAACTGCATAATTAGCTAATGAATTAGTTAATTGCACTCACTCCCCGACGGCAGATCCGTTCCAGCAGTGAACCTCCTTGTGCGCTGAGAACGCGTCCCGACTGCAGACGGCATCGGCCAGATTGGCGAAGAAGCCCTTGGACCTGAGGAGGACAGTGCGGAAGTCCTCCTCCTCCTCCTCCTCCTCGCCGTCCTCCTTGGGGGCCGGCAGCGCCAGACTCCGGCGGGTGTTGGTGAGGAGGGCGGATTTGCCCAGGTCCTCGTCCGTTCGGAAGTGAGTCGTGCTTCGCTCGGCGGAACCGCACGCTTTCTTGACCTGCCGTCCGAATAGAATTTCACACAAATATATATTTTTTTATTTAAAATTATTATATTGAAATAAAAACATGCAAGAACAATATCTGAAGACCCAAAAATAAATAAAACCTCAGCGGATCATTTTGCAGTCCACTTCGCAATAAAAACAAAACATGTAAAGAAATCAGATTAAAGACGACTCAAAGAAAAAAAAAAGAAAGAAGAAAGGAAGAAAAGTCGATAGAAGTGTTGTTTATGCGAGACATGCCGTCTCCACAGCGTGAGGAATCAAGGACATAATCCCTGGCTTCAAAACAGGCGTCCGTTGACACAAGAGACTTTTCACTCCCGGGGGGCAGGGGGGGGGGGCGAGGGGGAATCAATGGATTTCTGACTCTGGACAAAGACGAACGGGGGAGGGGTAGGCTTTTCATCCGCGTTCATTCATTCGCGCCCTGAAGAAATGAAATCTCCTCCATTTAAATGCCCCCCTCCGCGTGAGCTTTCCCTCTGGAAATTCCCTGCGTTTCCGGGGAACATCTTTGTTATTCCCAGCTATTTTCTGCTTTTTCTCTATTTTTCCTCGGTATTTTCCCCCCATTTTCTCGGGAAAACAGTGTCGGGGAATGCTCTTGCTTCCAACTTCTGTGAAGACTTAACAAATTTTAAATCTCAATTTACAAAGATGAGGTTACCGTCTTTACATTTTATTGGTATATGTTATCTCATTAAAAATTTGAAGTTGGAATCTGTAGGTCTTTTATATTACAAAAAATCCTACTTTTATGCTAAGAAAAATGCAACACATGGCAAAAAAAAATTTAAGCAACTTCTATAAATACACTTCGCATTATAATTCAGTAACCATATGTTTTTCGTGATACAAGAATGCAGGTGAAAATATGTAACAATCCCGAAACGTGCATTTTTATGCAGCGAGGTCAATTTATGCTAAAATATGTACTGTTAAATTTTGCATGCAGACTCTTCGCAGTGAGGGGAAAATATTGCTCAAGGAAAAACATTTACATTTAAAAAAGCCCTATTAATAATCGCTCCCATCTCATATTAAATTTGCGACATCGGATGCCTCACACTCGCTCACTTAGCTCTGAACCCACAGAATCCCAAAGGAAAGGCCTCCACTTTTTTTTTTTTTAACCAGGTCGGGCATCCGGCCAAGGAACATGACAGGGAAACAAGTCGCAATCGCCGCTCCGACACGACACACACGCCAGCGGACTGACAACTCCCAGAAAAAAAATTCCCCGCCCTAAAAATTGTTTCTCGTTCGAAAAACCTAAGTTTCTCTGGCATGGTGCAAGGCGGCCAATGAGCACGATGCAAGGAAGTGGAAAATCCTCTTCACACCTTGCCATCTGGAAGGGGGATTTCCCCCCCCCCCCCAACCTCATTACAACTCTTCATGCCCTTTGTGAGCTGTTATTGACACGTGTGAGCTGTTGTTGACACTCGATAGGCCCAGGGAAATCCCGCCAGATTCCCCTCGGAGGGAATCCCGTCCTTAACATTTCCAAATAAATGATAAAAGTATAAAATAAAAAATATATTAGATGCTAATTTGGGAACATACCCAGAATTTGGCAATTGCCGATTTTGAATTATCGCATCTGAATATCGAACTATCCACACAAAATTTATTTCGTGCATGAACAAGTTAGAGGCCTCAAATAATCTACGAGTTCAAACAAATGGATAAGCTCAAACAAATGGATAGGCTCAGAGAATGGGGAGGCAGCCACCGAAACAAATAAGGTCGAAACGGCATCTGCCCCGACGAACGGCGCCGCATCTGCTCAAACTTTCAAACCCGGCTCGAATGACGCCAATAAATCGCAAAATGAGAGAGAACCAATAGATAGAAATATCCAGAAATTCCCGATATCCCGAAAGTAATCGGCATTTCGCATTTTAATGACCCTCCTTAAATGGGTGTAGAGTAAAAAAAAAAAAAAAATTCATGGAACCAAGGGATTCCCAAGGTCTACAACAAACGTGCGGTCTCACTCTGCCCTCGACTCCAGATAAGAGATAAAAATGCGATAAAAATAAGATAAAATTGGAGGGGGATCCGTCGGGCTTCCACCGTGTCGCAGGTGGAATTGCTTTCCCAGGTGGAACTGCGCACTGGGGTCGGGATTGCCCTAAACCCACATACATCCCTGAATTATCTACGAAATGCGGAAAAGAAACCGTTGCGATAAGCCGAGTACTTAACGACCTAAATATCAGTAATAAATGCCCGAAATGTCTTGAATAAATGTCCTATATACTCCTGGACGTGGGAAATTCAAACTTATTCCGCTCCTCCAGAAGTTGGACCGATTTCGAGGAAATCATTTTCGATTTCTAAACTGGCCTCAGGAATGAAAAAGGACGAATCAGAAAACAGTATTTAATATTTGTTTTCAATCGGTTCCAATTCTCGTTTCGCTTGCAATGAGAAACTTAGTTTATCGAGGCCCAGTCTGAGTACTTGAGGTACTTCAGACACCAGCATTCCCTTCCGATATCCACTGGTACGAAGAACGCAAACAAAATAAACGGCGAACAATACTAGCACGTCCAAAAAAAATTCGTTTGAATGGACACGACCGGCCTCAAGAAACCATCAGTTGTCGGCGGGTAAAGACGGAAAGTGGACGAGGTAATTATTGGAGAGAGACACCCTGGACCTCCCAGGTGAGGTTCCCATCAATTTCCCCCCTGCCCCCCCCCCCCCATCCCCCCCTCCGAGGCTTTGTGTCGGCACGACCCAGAAAAGGGCGCATCACCGGCGACGAAGACGTATTGAAAAAATTGTATATATTTTTTAACGTATATAAAAAAAATATATATATATATATAAATGGTCTTTATCTTCTATGAGAAATGGAATGCTTTCATCGCGGATTCCTCAGGGGATTGTGCGTGGATGAATGCCCCATGCCCCCAGAACACAATGCCTCGCATGCTCACATCCCAGCCCCATTGTTATCCTTCACCTGGGAAGCGAAAACAATGCATAACAGCTAAGTACACTTAAATATGCTTGACGGTGACGCAAACGGCGAATCCCGGTTCTGGTAAGTTTTAGCAGACGACAAACTTTTTAAAAATAAGTTATTAAAAAAAAAACAAATAAATAAGAGCTAATCCTATCGCTATAAACCACCAACCCCCGACCGTGTTTTTCTAAAGAACAAAAAGAACAAAAAAAGAAAAGAAAAGGGGTGCAGGAATTTGGGGTATTTCCGGGGAAGGGCCGATAATGATCAGGGGGAGCTCGCCTTTTCTTCTTCTGCATTCCAGAACGGATCCCCCTTCCCCGAATGGATCACCCTTCCCCTTCCGAACGGATCACCCTTCAGAATGGATCCCCCTTTCATAACTCGTTCCGACCGCGATTTCGGGGGGAGTGAGACGTCCAGACTCGAAAGGCTCATCACAATCAATCAATACCCTCGTCAGGGAATCCAGCATTTATTGAGCATTTGTTGAGATGAGATCAATTCAATTTTCGCTTTAATTTTTTCTGCGAAATGATTTTTTTCCTCCACGTTATTATTTTTTTGCATGTAAAAAATTTAATGACATTTTGTCTAGCCTTTCCCATTCCCCACTTGTGACCCTCCACCGCTTAACATTTCACTTTCCTCTCTCGTCGCGTCACTCCATCGCTTAACTTTTTTTTCCCTAGTCTTATCGCGAAGCGCGAGAGAGCAGACATCTGCGACGAAAAGTGCGACGCAGACAAGCGCGTACAACCCACTTGGAGTGTCTTCACAACTAGTGCACGAGTTCACATCGGAGCCTCTGGCGGATAACTCAACGAGCGGCACATGGATAACTCAGCAAGAATCGCCACGGAAAATGCCCAGCTGGATTTCTCCGTTATGTTCCGTTCCGTCTCTGATTTTAAGGAATTCACTTCGTCATGTAATACCATCGAATAATTACAGCAAATAAGTTAATTTTCATTTCACTCTGATGCATGATATATGAATGAAACGAGGCATCAGTTTGAGTTTAAAAAATGCATCTGTTCTAATTTAAAACTCATGCGAGAATTCATTTTCCATGGCCATAAAAAAATTAAATTAGCGTCAAATTTTGCAAGTGAGCCAGTTAAGATAAAAATAAATAATTGACATAAAAAGGCGCACAGACGCGGCAGAGCGATACGAAGTCATTTTTCAAACCTGCTACAAAAAAAACGGGGGGGGGGAGGAGCCATTTCTCAGACTATTCCGTCGTTGGCATGCGCTCTCGCTCCTCCCTCCTCGCAACCTCCCTGGAACCTAAATGTAACCCGATCGGTTAAGAAATGAATCGGCTGCGTCGGGTGGAAAGCGAGCATACGGGCCACTCCGCGGTCACGATTCCGCTTCTCATTCGCATTCAAAACGCCACGAGGTATGCGATTGTGTGCGTTTGTATGCGCTGGTATGCACATGGACCTTTCACTCCGTATATGTCTCGGCTTGCACCATGACGACGGCAGGCACCATGCAGCTTACTCTTTGCTCATAGAGACGGCTAATTCCCAATGAGCTAATTGTGGGCTAAGCCAACGGCTAATTCTCGATTAACTAATTGTGAGTACAGCGGGTGTGAGAAAAACCCAGATTGCCTCGAAGTGCATCGCGACACTCATGTAGAATCCGCGGACTGGGAAGGTCCGATCGACTGGGAAGGCCGGATTCGTTCCGGAGGAGCCATTAGGCGGGGAATTTCCACGCCCTTTGACTCAGGTATGCTGAATGGCCGGCTGTAAATCCGTTCCAATCTCCTCTCCGGAGGGGAACAAAGGGGAAATTTTTCAAAGGGGGAAAAAATCATGATTCAACGGAGTTTACGACCTTCCACTCGTTTCCCCCGGAATTTTTTTTTTTTTTTTTACGGCTCCCACGGCGAACCTCCTCTGCGAAGTTTCGAATATTTAACCGCGGTTAAAAATCGGATGCAGGCAAAATGGCAGGCAGGCAGTGCGCATCCGAAAATAGACCCGCTCCACAAATTCATCCGTTTTAAAACGGGAGCCCAGCCAGAGAGAGAACGAGAGAAGCAGGTGCTTTGGGGTTTCCTGTCGAGGTAACGCGATCCGGTGCATGTGACCAGCTGGATAGATCGGGACGCAACCAGCTGGGTGGATCACGTCCAAATGTAATAGTAAAAACATCCGAGCACCTGGACCTTGCCGCATCCAAGTCCCGGTACTGGAGTGGTACTAAAATCCGGACATGTCTCCACTCGATAAAGAGACTCGCAGAGTCGTACACTGGGATGGGCACGGGCCTTCCCATGGACCTTCCCACACGATTGATTTGTCACCCGGCGTTGAAAACAAATGGACGAGGCGTGGAATCGCCTGCAGATAGATGCCGAGCCTTCTGCGTTCCTGTCTTTCCTCATCTTTCCTCACTTTCCGGGCCTTCTGCATTCCTTTCTTTCCTTCTCTTCGCCCTGACGGGGGTTCCGACATTAACTTTTTCAAATAATTTAACGAAACGGTGCCAAGCAGATACCAAGTTTATCTCATGTGTGTGATCTTGCGAAAACTTGGCAGAGCATGTAGCAAGTGTAGATAAAAGCCATACGCTCGCTCGGACATCGACTTTCACGGGCATCATTGGGGGAATGTCGCTCCTTGAAAAAAAAAAAAAAAGAAAATGGTATAGACCTGTTTCTCCAGAGCGGCGTCGTTCTCGTAGGCGAGGATGATCCCCTCGGAGATCTTGAGATCTACGTCCTGAATGGGGATCTGGACGTGAGGGCGTCCACGGGTCCGTCCTTTCCCCGACCCCAACACGATGGCGAGGGAGTCGAGGAACTCGTTCCACGGGAGGTCCAGTTCGCTCCACGGCGCGAGACATCCCCGGAGAACGTTCATGCAGAACCCGGGACACGGCGACGGAGGCGAGGATGAAGAGCGTGAAGATGGAGAGCAGAAGGAGCAAGGCCTGAGTCTCCCCAGGGCCATGCCGCAGCTTTCGATCCCGATCCGCTCCGCGCCGTCCACGAGCGCCTGGAGTACCTCTTCTCCCGTCTTCAACGCCCCATTCACCGCTCGCAGTGCCTTGAAGCTCCGGTGCACCGATGCCGCGATGTCACCCGGCACTCGACCGAACGGATTCAGCTCCCGTCGGTGCCGTCTCAGGCATTCCCTGTATTCCTCGGTGAACGCCTCCGCCTTCGGTTCCACGATCTGGTGGTACACGTACGGGAACAGACGGTCGAAGAACTCTTGCACCGTGTCCCCGATTCCCTGCACCTCGTCCCCGATCGCCTCGCCTTCTGCGAACCGCTCTCTCAGGCTCCGAAACAGCTCCACCACGTCGCCCTTCACCTCGCTGAAGATATCCGCGTAGTGCATGTGGAAGAACTTCAGCGTGTATTCCTCCGACACGTTCAATTCTCTTAAGAACGTCTCTGAAACGATAAAAGGGCAAAAAAGTCACTTATAAAATAAATAATAAAATACATAATAATAATTTAAGAATTAAAATGACTGAAAATAAATTTCCACAACTGAATCAAATCGGCACCGAAGTTCACAATCGACTCGTGTGGATTGAGGCTCAGAATCCTAACGGAGGAAACACACCTCTCCACCTTGAAAGATTCCCCCTCAAGGACACCCTTTCCCTTGCCACCAAATAAATCCTCTGAAATGCCTTTTTTCCCGTTTAGAAGTGGGACGGCTCGACCTCGCTCGCCGCAGATCCTTCCCCTCCCTCTCCGTAGATCCTCCATTTCCGCAGTGCAGTCTGCACGTGTTCGAAAGGGGATCCGGGGAAACGAGGAGATAAGAGGATGCATGGTCCCGCATCCGTCGTTTGCATGGCGTGGGTGTCGCCACTTTTTCCTTTCTTCGTCACCATCACGTGACGACGAATTTCCAAGTACCAAGAGAGAGCGGACCAAGTACCACAGGACACGTACTAACGAAGTACCTTATGAAGGACTCCGCCTCGCGACAGCTTTCACCGCTGAAATTTACGTCATCGATATCCGCGATGTCACGATTCCCAGGACGCTAATCCCAGCGGCCGGGAGATCGGTGTCACCGTTCAATGTCACTTCTTCCACTAATTTAGGCCGTCGACATCGATATCTAATGGATATCATCGGCTAATTACCAAGTTCGAGATGCGGACTGGCACGTCTCATCTTGGAATCGGTTTCCATGACGACGGCAGCCGTTATCATTAGAAGTCACCATCACGAAACCGCACCAGAGCCCAAGCACTAGTACTTTCAAAGGATTGTTGCGATGACAGAAAACGGATTTCTTGGAAATCCCGACGAAGGCCTGGAACACGAAGGGGGAGTCGGCCGGGGGGAGTTGACCGGGGGAGTCGTCTGGGACGCCGAGGCCCAGCCGGTTTCTGACAGGTGACAAATGCCCTCTCCGCCTCTCTCTCATCTGAATATATTCTAAAACCGCTTTTTTTTTGCCTCTTTTGATTTACGTGGCTCTCGACAGGGAGCCCATCGGCGGGAATTCCTCCTCATCCCTTTCGGACTGGGACGGAGACGGAGACGAGGAGGGAACCGCGTCGTTAGCGGGGGCATTTTCGACCGACATTCCGGCCGACATTAGTATCGGAGACACGAAAGTCTCTCTCTTCGACCTCTCCGACCACAATGAGTTTTTCCTTCTGTCTTTTTCCCAGGAGGGGGGGGGGGGGGGGGGGGGGGGAGGCGATTCCACTGACAAGGGGAATCCGTCACACGCCCACAACGCCAACGAGCCGTGACCAAACCGGAAAAAAAGCGATTAAACCCAAGCGTAATGGCGATGGGGTGTTTAAGAACGGGACCGATGAATTACCATCAATTGACCATCGACTCTGTTGCACGTCCGGAAGGGGACAAGTAAACCCTGTTCTCCGGTTACGAAGGGGAAAACAATCTTATTTGGATCCATCTTCATCCAGACGTGACGTGACGGCGACGTGACGTCACGGCGGCTCTCACGATCGAGACGAGAGGAATGACCGGATGGGAATCGACCACCCTTCGGTGAGGAACGGGATCGTAAATCAATCGCCGGGACGGCATTCCGGTACTAAGGGTTAGAGCGATCCCTGGCGTGGAGTCCGGGAAACGACGGGAAAAAACCAGAGGAAAAGACACAACCAAGCCCCGCTTTAGATTGTGATTTACAACTCAATTCGGGGAGGGGCATTCCGAATTCAGTGTTGCCGGATCCGGATCGACGGAGGCACCCCTGCGTCCCCCTCGCCGAACGACCTTCACCGACCACCCGACATGCGACGCCGCGGACAAAACAAAAAAACAACGACAAAAACAAAGACAGAGCGTGCGGCGAATCGGAAGGACGGACCCGACAACCCTGGGCCGGGTAGGTGGTCAGTCCGCCCTCCGGGTGGGAATTTCCCCCACTTTCCTCACGTTTTGAGGCAGTTTAGGCACCGCGGGTCTCTTTATCTCCCAGATAAAGACGCCGCGGACCTGGCAAACAGAAGCTGCCGATAAGATCCACCTGGCCAGGTACTAGTCTCTTTTTTAATTAGACGCGCAGATGTAAAAAAAAAGGCGGGAATACTTGGCATAGCATGGCGTTGTGGGGTCAGGTCCAGCGCCCACGCTAATTGGGATCCGCATTAAACAGGCTGGGGAGAAAAAAAGAGGTTACTCCACCAGTATGATAATTGGCCCCTTTGTATAATCCCGGACGACTCTGACCTCTCTGCATCAAAACTGGATTTTTCTCTCTCGGGAAAAAAAAGAAAGAAAGGAAGAATGTTAGATCGATAAGGAGGGCCGGTCGGGAGACAGAGATCATTTTGCTCTAATGGCCATCACCTCGCGATATCCCATTAGTCGGCGGAGGTGGAGGAGCTCACCGTGGATGTCGACGGAGGTGGAGGTGAAGAGGTGGCGGAGGGCGGCGCTGGTGTCGCGGATGCCGTCTTGCAGGTCCGCGATCCCCGCGCGGGTCATGTCGGCAGAGGTGAAGCCGGTGCAGCATCCGATGTCGCCGGCGCACAAGCCGGGACCCGTTCCAAGCGTCTCTGACAAAATTATTAAATATGTGACATTATTCTTCTGGTAGTGTATTATTCGTTTTCCCCAAATGTGTTATTAATTTCCCTCGTTCTTCACCCGTAAACCCTTCAAAAGTTGTGACAACTGGGTCAAGGCCGGCTCAATACTAAACGAAGGCCAATCCGGCACAAGATGACATTCTGACATGAAAAAGAAGCCGGGGCCAGTCCAGTCCTGTTAGGAAATGCGACTATTTTTTATTCCGAATTAGTACAGGGATGAAATGTTTCCGACGTGAAACGCAGGCTCATCACATTACGATGACGAAAATCCCATGACGGTTGGCGCAATAGCAAGGAAGGAACATCTGTTAACCTAATTTAAAGCGAGACAAGAACGAAAGCGCGAGCCGTGGATGGCGAGTCATTAACGTGTCACATCTATGTTGCCCCGTGCGAAGCGACTTCAATTTTGCCTCTTAAATATTTATGAGCAAGGGAGTCTTCCCGCAACCACGAACGAAACCTCCACCCCGCTTAAAAATGACGAGGTGGAACGATGGAACGAAGCATCCACGTGGAGAAAGAAGACGGTGGAGGGCAAGTGGAAGTGGAGGGCAGGAGGATGAAAGTAAGCGGAGGTGGATGGCAAGAGGTTCTCTTCCTCTTCGCATCGCCTGTTGGGTGGTCGGGGGAGGGAGTTAGCTTTACTTCATTCCCGCATTATTCTTTTATTTGGCTTATCGTCGCATTAAAGGCTGCTTCTCCCATTTCGGGAGAAACAAAGACCGGAAACGGGAAGGAAAACTCGTCCGAGACCAAGAATTGCCCCACGGGAGGCATGACCTCGCCTCGTCCCGGTCGATGGGCGTCATCGAGGATGTTCGAGGGGAAGGGTGTCGGGGATGAGACAATATGAAGGAGAAGAAACAAAGGGTGGGAGGCTTTTCTTCTTTTACGACCGGGGGTTGGAATTTCCCTCTGCGATGATGGCTTGTTTTTCCCTCTCCCCGCCATTATTCCCTCTTTTCCTTCCATTAGGTCCCGCCGCCGTTAATTTACGACTCGAATTCGCTTTCGTTCGGGAGGGATGCTGACCTCTCTCGACCTCCCTCCGGTCGCCCGGGGGAGGACAGGTCGCGACAGAGCAATCTTCGGATTACCCCGGGTCACCCTTCCTTCCCATCCGTCAATGCCAAGATCCCAGACCTGATTAAATGCCTCCTCGGTCTTTTCCCAGGAGGTAAAAAAAAACCCCATAAACTTGGAATTTTCGTCCGGTGAGACATCTTCCCTGAACTTTCATCCGGTGAAACGGAATCGTTCGGTCGAATAACCAACGCGGTTACTTAACCGATCGTAACCGCCGCGAGGGCGGCAGGTTTTTTCCCCCCTCGTTCGTGCACGAATTTATCTGTGACGCAATCCCTTCGCCCATTAAACCTTGGGGATTTTCAATCTCCCCGGGGCGCAATTAGGCACTATCGCGGCTAATAATTAGGCACGCGAGGACGCCGTTATGGTGCGACGGTCGTCGTCTGACCCTTCGAGTCTGTTTATCCGAGAACTGGTTTTTCTATAAATAACAAAGGGAACATGATTCGGAAGCCCCGGGCATTGTTTCCACCAGAAAACACGCTGGTCGCCTTTCGTCCGACTGAACGCGACGTTCAGCATGTTGGAAGGACGAGAAGAAAACGAGATTTCGCAGTCCGTGCCTCGAGGGCAAGGATGTGGAGTACCTCCAGGTGTACTCGAGAAAAAAATCGGGTCGCTGCGTCTCACCTGTGACATTTCGACGACGGAAGTACTGTCGGGCGGGGCTGCAGTCCGTGGGTGATGGCAAGGCCGAGGCGTGAGGACACAGCGAGGACGCGAAGGCGAAGGCGAGGACGAAGATCACGCGAAAAGGGGCACTCATGATGAGGGAACTGGGCCGGACTCTCGACTCGACTGACACTGAACCGGTTCTTCCTGCCCGTCCTCCATCAAAACGACGAAAGAGAGCGCGAGCGAGGAGCTCCGTTCCAGAGCGGGCAGGGAGGTCTAGCAGACGACGCGCTGCACGGCGCAGCAAACGATACGCAGGGCTCTGGTCTAGCAGACGACGCGCTCCTGACGTCACAGAACAGCAGACGATGTTCACGCACTCACTCGTCGACCAGACAGCGTGTTCTCTGTGGCAAGCCACGACCCGTACCGTCTATTTACCTTCTATACACCGTCTATTTACGCTTTACGGAGAAAACTCTCACCTCTCGTTCCATTACCTGGCTCGAAACGTTCGTTTCCGGATTATGAATTCTCAGGCTTATAGTGATCGCAACCAGCTTCCATTCCGCGATGGAATTTAGCAACATAGACAACATCGTTGAAATCGATCGCATGCTCTAATTTTCTGAATTCATTGAATCCACGTTAGTAATTTAATAATAATGGGTGACACGCACCAGATCCATTGAACTTTAAACTGATCTGGTTTCATAATGGTCGTCTACGGGAATAAGATTACCTCCGTCAAACAATTACCATAGAGGACCATTGTGAGATCAGATTAGTTAAATAGGTCTGGTGCATGTCAGCCAATGTTAATAACTTCTCTTATGTATTTTAGGCAGTGGCATATTTTGACCCGGGGGTCGGTAAGAGTCGGGGGGGGAAGGGGCGCCAAGGGCAAGCATATTTATAGAGTAAATATACGTTATAATTGAATTAATTGAGTGCTATCGCATTGAATTCAGAGTTTCATTTTTCTATATTTCATTGCACTGAAAGAAAGATATCGTGTTTTCAAAATCGACAGTGACCGCCAAATCCCTCTCGATATTCAGAACGGCCAGACCGGTGAGACGCTCTTGTCCCATTGTTGTTCGAAGATAGTTCCCAATTCTCTTCGAGTGGCTTAATGTTCTTTCTGCCTTCGCACTTGTCACTGGCAGGGTGGGAAAGATCCAGTATGGGGTTGCAACATTTGGAAAGGCTGTTGTCATCCCATTCTCCATCATGAAATGAAGAATGTCACGTGAAAGTTGTGCCAAGCTATCATCCTTGAGCATATCTCGGAGGGTATCGAAGAATATATAGAATTCCTGCAGAACATGCTCAGGGTCAGGCTCGCACAAGTCATTTTGGTACTGACGAACCTAAGACGAAATCGAGTCGTCAACCAAACTTCAACTTTTATGGCCTGAGACAGTCAAATTTGCTCACAATCTCAAAAAAAAAGAGAGGATCTTTTGGTCATCTGGTGAATTAAGATGTTTAGGATGAAGAAGTAAACTTTGATGCAGAACAAGTCTTTTGGATGCTGTTAGGCTTATCCGGTGCAACTCCCAAGGCATTTTCTTCCGGCGGCCGCTTCTTCTGACCTTAAAATACCTTAAATTTTGTTCCATCCCGTAATATTCTGACATTTATTTCGCATCTAGCAGGAATTGACTGAAGATGGCATCTGATCGCATTTCTTTGAGAGCTGTGATCGTATTTTTAATCAAACTGCAAGACACAATGAATTCAGTATCAGAACGTTGACATTCATTTGAAAGGGTGAAGAAGTTCTTCAGGATATCATACTAAAATATCATCCCCGGCAACACAACGCTGGACCAATATTGGCTGCGAGTGGGGGAGCGTGGGCCTCTCGTACATTGCTGATGGCTGCCCATGTGGGCTCCACATCGGCACTAGGGTGGCAGCCAACATTTGTCATGACTCAGGATGAGCTATCTATCTCAGTTATTTGAACGAAAAGCTTCCCACAGATTAAGCGAGATGGTGGCTATGAAGTCGTTATTTCAGTGGGATCAGGGAGTGACTCATTAATTTAAAACCCCAGTACCTTTCATGCGGTACTTGATCTATTCACGTAGAGAACGTAAGGGAAAACACTCAAATTTCTCGCATTTGTTTAGACAGGTTAAACAGTCCAAGGAGAATCCTGTTAATCGTGGAAGTAACATGGCTCAAATTGGGGCTTCACTCAATAGGGTGAGGATAAGGAAAGCCTTTTTATTATTGAGGATGCTGCGTCTGGCTCCCTTCCGAGGGTGGGTTCGGGTATGATAAATGATATGATTACCCGAGTCTTTCCGGACAAGCCCTTCCTTAACGAGTAGAAGAGCCTGATGAGTGAAGTCACATTATGGTTCAATCCCAGTACGGAAAGTGAAGGCCTCAAAAGATGACAATTGAGGGAAGTACTACTCCCTCTTTGGGAGTTTTAAATTTGTTCTGTGAATTACAAAGGTTCGACGAGATTTTCAGGTTCTTTCCACGCCGTCAGCCGCAACGATTTTGAGTACGTCGCGCCACCCTTAATCCTTGAACCCTGACGGGGACCGGATGCACGCCAGCGTGGTCACTTTTCAAAGGGCCACAGACGTCCGAGTTCTTTTCGTGCGAGGGAGAGTCTCAGACATTTATGTGCTGTTCATGCCCCGTCTTCACGGTTGCGTCATTCCAAAGTGGTTGGGCCCATCGTGGCCATCCGAGGGTTCTGGCTTTACTCCAATCACTGGTGTAGACTAGTGGTGGGACGGGGCGTGGGGGGCTCTTATTGGCTAATCCACTCCAGTACTTCCAGAATTTGGCTGAAAATTATTTTTTGAAAATGTTTTTTGATTTTTGAAAATGGAGGGTGGACTCTACACCTTATATTTGTTACCCACCCCCCCCCCCCCCCCACCGCTCTTAGAACCACGTCGGCCCTCCCAAAAATGAGACCCTGGTTACGTGATTCGCTCTATCTAGGGCCGAGGGTCACTCGCAGAGCAGCTCTACATTCGCTTCCACCAATTTCGTGTGGTTCTCGATCGATGAAGGAAGAGACACTGGGAAATAATTATTCAGAGAGTAGTTGAATTGTTAAGTATTATTAAGAAGGCTCCGAACAGCTTCAAACGAAGGCTATTTTTAAAGGGAAACAAGTTTCCCGAGGTTGGGGGTCAAAAAAAAATTTTTTTTTCATCCACCACCCCCAGGATTAGAAAGGATTAGCTTCGCATAGCACCCTGGAGGGAAGGTCGCGACATAAATATGTTAAGGTAGGGGGTGACGACACGAATCCCGATAGGCATCGATGGCTGCGATAGACGCGTCCCTGGCATAAAGAGTTTGAGACATCTAGGGTGATACGAGGAAAGAGTATCCTTTGGCCAAGGTCCATTCGAATATGCTTGGAGAACATGGCGCAGACCAGGATGTGATTTATGTTCCCCGTGTATCACTTGGGAACAGGCCTGTGATGTGTCTACTATTTGCCAACAAGACTTTTCAATTTCCAATTTAGGTTCTTAACTCTGCAAGCTCCCACAAAGTTCTGTGTCCTTTTTCGCTTAGTCCTCATAACCATGGATGAATCCAATAATAAGCGCCAAGGAACTAGGTGAGTTCAAATTTCACTTGGATTTACGTTGGGCAGTATTAGTGTACAGTTTCTTTGAGTTGGCGTACGATCGTGAATAGACATTATCATATAATGTTTTGTTTCTCGGCGAAGGAAACGCCGAATACGAAGTGCATCACCAGCTCACCCTCATGGCTTAGATGACTCCTAACGTTAGTAATTAGCCGAACGCCATGTCGGTCTAGGGTTTGGCTACCGACCTCGACGACCTCAAGTTGGACCGTAGCATATGACAGCCGAACGTTAAGTCCGTGCCCCATTGAAAGAAATGACCCTTGGCGATGTTTAAAGCAGGCTGTAGATCTTTGAAACATGAGGAGACTCCCTGCAAACGACATGAGGCCAGGTCCTCAACTCTTTCTTCCCAAGGCCAACTTGGATGGACCTACTCATGGCCCATGATGGGCCTTCTGACAAGTATAATAAATGCCAGAACATGGACAACCTTAAGCCTTTTTTTGTTTTTAAACCAGTGTTAACTTCGGGCTCCTGTAAGCCTTGTGGTAGGCTCATTAGGTTTATGTCATAGGGTCTTGGCCTAACCTAAAATTTTGATTGATTAACTAGTTATTTTTATTAATTAATGCCTTGTGAGGAATTTTTTAAGTTGAAAAGTTTAGCACAAGCTTGGGCCTAATGCTATTGAGTGAAGTTAAAATTGCTTTGAGCCTTATATTTCCAGGAAATTAATCTATGTACTTTTCTTTGTAGGGTTTTCAAGAAGAGCAGTCCAAATGGCAAGGTATGTTTGTTTGACAAGAACTCCAAGTGTCTATTAGTCTCTCCTGTTTCAATTTTGAAGGGATTTTAATCTTTTCAGAATTCATTGAGAGCTATAGTTCTTTTTTCTTTAAAAATGTATTCTTACTTAGGACTCTGAATATCAGCATTTGGCCAAAGTGAAGAAGCAACCTGAAAATGTTGATGCTTTTTCTCTCTAAGCAATATTTACGTCCTAGTGTTTTTTTTTTTCTCACTGGATGATTAAAAAAACAACCCTGAGCATTTTTTATCTGACAATATTGTACCATATGTAAACTTCTATTTGTGATTGTATTACACTTTTTCCCTCTCCCAAGGACCTGTTGTGTATAATCTGGATTTTCCTACAGTACTCTCATGCAGTTCCTGGTTGTCATTTTGTTCTTTGGTAATGGTGGGAAAGAGTAGTGTAGCATTCTTTTATTTCTGTGTATCTCCACACTCAAGAATCAGTAAAAAATGAAATGGGCATCACCAAAAGCAGCTTTTAATCCCTTTTAATTTGATATCTGATGAACTTCTCTTCATACCCTGATTTATTGAGATTGCATGTGGTAACACAAAAAGGTTGTTCCTTGTGCTGGAATAGAATGGGTCTTAAAGGTTGTCTCTTACTGCACTCTCCCTTTGTTCAAGAAAATTGTTGCGAAAGTCTATAATTGAGGTAAGGGTGCTTTTTCATTCTCACTGTTGATTTGTTTTCCCCAACTGCCAGTTTCTAACAGGTGGAAGGTCAGTGCTTTCACGAGAGATGCAGAAAGAAACTTTTTATTCAATGATTTATTGGCAGTATGAGACATTGAAATAATGCAGTACATGCCTGAGGAGGTCTGATTCTATATTGATGTTCCATGTTGTGATAGACTGTTACCCCTCTCTAAGAAATAAGAAACCCATTTTTCGATAATTTTTTGTACCCCCCCAGGATATTTGAGCATTTCAAGACCGATTCTTGTGGATTTAATTGACAGCTTTTTTGTCAGACTCATGGAATCAACTGTGACTCTAAGTCAGCCTTTCTTCAACAAGAGATGAGCTGAGCTGAATGCCTTGCCAGAATGAAAAACCCAGCCTGTCCTGCATTTCACAATTAGATTGCATGGACCAATTCACCAGCATATGCATATCATGAAACAAATTGAAGTTTATTTTATTTATTGAAATATGCTGTTATTAATTCTTTTTAAAGTGTTTTCTTGCAGTCAGAAGTTTATAGGCACAAATAGTTTTATTTTTGCCTGCTAATGTAAGCCACTCTATGTTCAATGGTTATTCCAATTTTTTTTTTTCCTACTATCATGGTCATTTGTATGGCCATTAATAGCAATCAAGTTAGTGAGTTATAGCAGATATTCTCACTCCAATAGTGTACACTATCTTGCCAAAAGTGAAGACCAGCTCAAGGATGTAGTTAATGTCATAATTGTCTCACCTGCCAATTTGGTGTTGGATTTTCCTCAGCCTAAATGATAGCTGGAACCCACTCATTGGGTCCACAAGTCTTCTATTATGTTATGACACTGCACTGCACAGTGTGGAAGTAAATATAAGGTAACTGTGGGTATTCGCTGCACTTTCAACTTGTATATGCTGTCTCAGGAGTCGGGGCAGCGGCCAAGGCATGTGAATAACGATGATAAAAAATCAATCAATATCTGGCAAAAACTAATGTGTCAACATGGTAATTCTTTCATGCAAGATGGTGCGTGAACGGAACTGCAAACTGTTGCGTGCAGATGCGTGTGCCTGTAGAGCTAGTCAGGTGTCTCTTGTAGCTAAGACTCACATACAATAACCACCCATTGATTTTCTTTTTCTTATGTTTGCCAAAGAGCATTGATGCTTGTTTAGTCATAGGCTATCAAACTAAGATGAAGAATTACAGTAATGACTAGTACCTGCCATTTAGAGCATTAAATCAGGGGTGCCATGATCGCATACAGTTTTCTCAACCTAATGCATCTGCGGCCGTTCCTTGCCTCTTGCGCCGCAATTGGTGCATCTTCGTATGATATCATGACACAGTGTATGAATGTATGTCCGACTAGATTTGTCAAATGCTCAAAAAGAGGCTCAGTTCTCAAGGTGAAATACACATAAACCTATACAATTCATCTGAATGTCAAAGAATTTAGAAGGTCTTCATATCTGGGTGTTCGATATCTCAGTTTTGGAGTTCAGAATATTTCAGGGAACTGGAAATTTCCCCGATTGAGGCTACAGCTTAAGTTTACCTTGTTTAATAAATATTTCTTGAAATTATTTTAATATAAATGTGTATTTCCTCAAAGGCTACAGTGACATGAAGAGAAGAAAATGGACAGTAGAAATATGTTAAAAAGAAAAATGAGAAAAAAATGTGCAGAGGAAGATCTAAGGGAAGCCTTAAGTAGGATTGCACATGGAGAAAGAAAAACTCACAGAGAAGAAGAGTACAACGTTTTTTGTTTTACATTTTCATGAGTAATTTCACCCATTAAGAAGCTGTTATATATTTTTAGTTTTGTTAGCGCCTTTTTGCATTTTGGGAATAAAGAGGGTTATTTTTTTATTTATGAGTCGGGTGCCGCAATCATGATACTCCAATTGCCGCGATCCCCTTATTGGACCTCCATGTATTGATATGAGGCTGACGCAATCTGATTTTTCCCTGCTGCAGACCCATACAAGTCATGGCACAATTGCCTACCATTGAAAAGTATGGGTTCTCTTGTTTCAAGTTAGCTTAACCACGCATCCATGTGCTGCAAATCAGTGAAATAACATGATCGGCATTCTGGAATCCCTTCATATCAATTCAATGAAAACTGGACTCTAATGTGGCACTCCACTCCTAAGCAGTGAGTTTTTAAATCCTCGAAGTAGGCTTACATATGCTGCGAATACCCACAGTTACCTTAGCAGAAGGAAGACTTGACTTTTCCACCATACCTCTTAGAAGGCAGTGAACTCTCATTGTGCTGCCATCGTGCTATTAACTGATTTTTAGACCTAGGCTGTATGTACCTGCTGTCAGGCTGTCACTTAGTTACTGAATCCCATAGTAACATTGCACCATGTCAACTATCATTTGTAAGGCATTGACTTGGTAAGATAGTGTATGGTCTTACCTGTTCATCTTTTGCACATCATAGACAGCTTGGAGTATATTAGGGCTAGTTCTTGCCTTTTGTCAAATTGTTCATGTGTATTATATGCCATCTTCTTATAACAATTTTTTTTATCCCTCACTAACCTTTGATGATCTTTATTTCCTCCTTTGAAAAAGTGATGATGTACTTCAAGCCATCACCCAGAGTTCTGTGCTTGTCATAGCAAGGCTTTTGTCTTCTTTTCTGAGAATATGACTGCTTTAAGTTGACTAAAATTTATTTCAACTCATAAATATGAGGTACTTCCCACTTGAGAGTTTTGGAAGCGTTCCATCCAAAAACTACTATGTAACTGTGAAGTAGACTTTGAAATCCAGAAATTATTGCAGAGCAGCACAAGGAGTGGGTGGGCTTCCCTGCTACACACCCATCACCACCTAACCCAACACACACACCATCTCCAGATATACCCTGTGCTCTTGTCTTTCACCTCCCTCCCCCCCTCCCCCCCATCCCTCCTTTGTTCCTATCCCATGTTAGTTTTGCCTGTATCATCTGACTACATTAAAAGGAAGCTTGCTCTGGGACCAGGCTCTGCTTGGCTTATTTTTCTAGTCTTGCCCCATTAGGTGAGATGAGGGGTCTGCAGAGTTGTTTTGATTTCATTAATTGCATTTATCTATGTATTGTGTAAGCTGCAGCCTATGCTCTGAGTTTTAAGGAAAGAGAATGTGTATTATTTATTTGTTGAATGGAATTAATAAAATTTAGGTGACAAAAAATGTTTCAAGGAGTGTAAATGTTCTTACAGTTGTCTTACATTTTTTTTTTATAGATTTGGGTGGAAATAAATTTTCCAGCAGCATGAAGCTTCCTCATTCTGTGTTTTTCTGATGTCAAATGCTCTAGTTTCAATAGATTTTTCTGTCTGTCCATCATTTAAATTTTAAAATGAAAGTTCAAAACTTTCCAAAGGAGTATCAGCATTAAAATGTAATTTTGTCACTCAGAACAGCAGATGATTGAAATGAAAGGTTGTTGAAGGATATTGTGATTTTTATAAAATGTCTGCTGCATCATTAAGGTATATTTTTCTCTGAGAGATCCCTAGAAACCTGCTGTGCGGTGGAGTCTAAGGAATTCAGGAGACATTCAGTAGTCCAGCATTCCTTACCTATTTACATTCCTTTGAGCTGATTCATGGGCCTTGAAAGGTAATTATGGGAATTAGTGGAAGGAAGGAATGAAGGCTTTTCAGATGAGTACCTTAAAAAGAATTAACTGTTTGTTTATTCATTGATGGTTATAATGAGAAACAGGAACTATTTTTTTTTTTTAAATAGTTTAGAACTCAGATTTTTTGCAGCTCAAGCATTAGTAGTTTCGCAAACTTGTACCATTTCACAAATTTATATTTACATTTACATTTTACAAAACATTTACTTAAACTTTCATTATTTATAATCCTGTGATGAAAAAATCCCTGGAAACTCTTAGTAATGCATTTTATTCCATCAGTATTTCACAACATGTGAAAGCTTAAGGAATATTGCATGTCTAAAAAATGCAGTTCCCTTAGAACAGGACTTCCCAACCTTTTTCACGCGCGACCCCAAAAATCGTTATAATATCATTCAGGACCTCAAGCACTGGCTGAAGTTCGGCATGCTCCCCCACCTAAGCGCTAAAATAGCAAAGGAAAATATAACTTGGCATTTGTCTGCCGGTTCGCGACCCCAAATATGATCTTGGAGACCCCAGGGTTGGGGAGCATTGCCTTAGAAACTATCTTTTTATTAGGCATGCGACAGAAATAAGAAGCTAGAGCTGAATAGGATTGAGTATTTCAGCACAAAAGATCGCAGAACGTAGCTTCCAAGTCGAGTCGAACTATCTCATAATTGAAGTTGCTGTGTTAGGGTCTACGTTTAATCAATGTTAACATAAAAAGTCTTTTTTTTTATTTGGAGTACCGATGTTTTACTCTAGTGTGGTGTGCTGACAGTCGTTATATTATTTTTGGCTTTTTTCCCATTTACAGATTACCGTGTACCTGGGGAAAAGAGATTTCGTGGATCACGTCACGCATGTGGATCCAATCGGTGAGCACGGACTATGATATGTCAATAATAGATATGAGTTGCTAACCCAGGGTTCTAGTCAGACCTTTGTGACTATTCCATTTACAATTCCGGAATTTCCATTCCATTTAAAAACTCGCTACCCGGCTTTAAAATCCTTCAGTCGACAAGGAAGTGGCACGGTTGTTGAAAGGCGGTAGTCGAGCACGCATGTACGTCAGCTCTCGAACCAGTCACGAGTGACAGTGAGGACCGAGGGAGCGAGACACTTGTCAGAGCATCTTCGAGGTAGAGAGAGGAGCTGTGAGAAAAATCTCTGAAAGGAACCGGAGGATGGAAGATGGATGGCGGATTTCCTGGCTCTCCACGTGTGGAGAACCGAGAGACCTTGAGCAACGGGGACATTTTTCCTTCTCCCGCATTTCCAAGAATTCCCGTTCTAAATCGATGTAACTCGTCGATGCGGAGAAGGCGAACCGAATGGAGATGTGTGGGTTGAGGTTTTGATTTATTTATGGGATATGTTATCAGCACATGCGTCTCAATTATTTTCCTCATCCCAAGCAGACTTGGGGACTGCAGGTATTTTGTAACAAGAGAAAGAAACGGGCAGGCGTGATTTATTTCATAATGTTTTCCTCATGACAAATACGCGATTTTTCTGGTGTCTGGCAGTTATGATCCCGGTCCTCCTCTCCGCACAGCTCCTTATCGGACCCATTTACGGTGAACATGTATGTTGTCAACAGAAGCATGTCTTGTACCGGTAGTGAAGCAAAGCTGCCAAGGCAAAGTTGTTGTTTTTTTTTTTTCCACTTCTAATTCTTCAAACGGTTGTGGAAAAGACAACCCAAGGTGTGACCTTGCTTTAGGAATCGATCCATGAAAGGAGCCCGCCCACTCAAGGACATTTCTTGCATGGAACTCTGCAACCCATTGCTGTTAAAATTGTGACTGGACCTGCATATGAATTCCACATGAAGACATTTATGTCCCTTGGCTTACCAGATTTCTGAGGCCAGCTTCTTGTACTTCAAGCTTTCCTTCATAGACTTGTGTTCCACCCTTTAATTAAAGATCTTAGAATCAATCAAATCTGGGAGGAGAAGCCCTTTTGGTTGACAGGTCATCTTTAACATAATTTTGTACGATGGACAGTATGGTCTTGGAGCTCATAATAGATGTGAGTGGAGTGATACATTCATGAGTATTCATGTAGTCTATTCTTTAGGCAATTATCGTTGTGTGGGTAAGAGAGTCTCAAAAGTAGTAGACAATTTTATGAACCAATTGCTTCTATTTGCTGTAGTTGTTAGTATATGAGATATGAAGGCTTTTTGACAATTCACTTATTTGCTTGTCGAGAAAAGAAATTCCAAAATAATTCAATTTTTTCAATTTATTAATCATTCACATCACTGGCACTCACAAGCTGTTTGGTACTTAACCCCTTTCCTGCGGATTATGTATATATATGCGATTTATTATCTTGATTTTCAAAGTTGTAGAGCTATTATGAAAATCATAGCTCTACCTGTTTTTCATTCTTCATACCTGTTTCTCTATACTTTCCTATGGATGACATATATTTACATCGTGGGACTTAGTGCCTGGCTGAGGCTGGAATAATACTGTTGGGATGCTGGGCTGCCTCAGTCAATCCTGTGGTCAAGGGGTTAATATATAAATATATTTATAAAATGTAAGATGGACAAGGGTCCTGATCCCTCACTCCAGGTGCTTATTGTACCTGTAGAAATTGAATATAGTCTTTTTGAATGAAGGGTTTAACCTGTCTTTGTTTTTCTGATGGTTTTCTAAATGTAAGGAGAGTAATTAGAGCCAAAAACTATTGGTGCTTTAAACTTTTTGTTGTTGTGGTAATTGGAACATTGGCAAATCATACATAGGCCATAGCAAAGCAGATTTTTTCTGTGACCTAGTTAGTGTGGCTCATTATTCGAAGTTAAATATATGGACAATATGAGACTCTGAAAACATCTTACCAGAGGTTTTATTAAATCTGATAGGAATGGAATAGGTGAATTCATATCTTATCTGAGACATGTGACATGACATGAGCAATGTGACATGAGCCAGATTCCATCCTGGCTAGTCACAAGAACATGTCTCTTTTCACATTGCATGTTTGATTTTCACCAATTTTAAACTTGTACTGAGTCTTAGTCTGTTTCCCATACAGATCTTTACTATTTCTTTGCATCATACATAGTTAAATATTCAGTTACAACCATCTCAGGAAGGATTTATAATTCTAAACTTGCTCTGTGCCCAGAGGTGAGCCCAGGTATTCATTTGGATCTGATAGTCTTACAGATAGAGGAGAGTAAAATCTTTGTCCATAGGACGGCACTGAAGGGTAACATAGAACATAAAACATGCATTGATTTCTTTCAGATGGGGTAGTACTGATAGACCCTGACTACTTGAAGGACCGCAAAGTGTTTGGCCAGGTGCTGGCTGCCTTCCGTTATGGCCGTGAGGATCTTGATGTCCTGGGCCTCACTTTTCGCAAGGACCTTTTCCTTGCATCTGCCCAGATTTTTCCTCAGGAAGCTGAGAATAAACGAGACCTTACCAGACTTCAGGTAAGTTTTGGATGACTTCAAGTTGACTAGATCAAGAAAGTGTTCCCTCAAGAAAAAAATTTGCTTTTATCTGTGGTTTGCTCACTTGAGAAAAAGGGCTGCCACCAATTTAGACAGCTTATGACATATCATTTTCCCAGAGTTTGAATTGATTTCTTTTGCCTCTTTGATGGGCTTACCATTGGTGCATGCTGCTCTCTTTAACGCACATAAAATTATTTTTTGAAATCTTGTCTTTGAAATGTATGTGTTTTTTTATTTTAAATATTGATACTTTGTCTATAGCCATATCACACATTCTGAGTTGGTATTCCTTTGTCTAAGTCTTGCAAAAAAAAAGGATTAGTGAGATGGGATGAGAAAACAGTAGGCTTTAGGCTTATGTGTATTGCAATGGTAATTATCTATATTATAAAGCACCTCAGATACAATTCACAAAAATGGTGGGTTAGCATCAGTCATTTTTGGTGCTTATCCTTGATCACTCATATTACCATTTTCTGCCTTTTTGTAGCTGCTTTATTTCTAGAGGCTTTCATTTCTAGGTGGTCTTAGTCCCCATTCTCACCAGTCCTGGTTGGTTTTCTTGTTTCTAAATATAGGTGTCAACTATTGACTAATACTTGCTATTTTTGTCAAATCAGACATTGGTGGATAAGATTAAATTGAATGAAAGGTTTTTTAAGAATATAATTTGAAGGACAAAATGCAAGCCAGCACTCAGCCTGTGTGAATTTCCATCTATTATATGATGGATATTTGTACAATGTTACTGTACTTTTTTTTGGGGGGGGGGGGGGGGGATGTTTGTTGTACCTGTTTACTTCAATTTTCACTGAGTTAAACCTTTATTTAGAAAAATGTAAGTTATTGTTAATTGCATTAGTTTCAAGGGTATCATATAGCAGCTGAAATGTTAGTACAACTCTTCATTTCTTTTAATGAATCAGGAAAGATTGCTGAAGAAGCTGGGGCCAAATGCCTATCCCTTCTTCTTTGAATTGCCACCAAACTGCCCTGCATCCGTAACGTTGCAGCCAGCACCAGGAGACACAGGGAAGCCTTGTGGCATTGACTATGAACTCAGGGCATATGTTGCAGATACAGTTGATGACAAACCTCACAAAAGGTAGGTGCTACTGTTTTGCACTTATCTGCTGATTGCTAGGTGTTGAAACTTGGTCCTTGCTGAGCCTTGAACTAAGAATTTGTTTGGAAGCCTCACAAAAACTCTGAGTTTATTCATCATAGAACCAGTTTAAGATGGAATAAAGTTGAGTCACTAGAATGTCAGTGTGAGGTGTAAAAGTATAGTTGTGGGAATATCATAAGCAAGTCTTGTACTTCTGTACAAGAAGTGTTTAGAAGTGTTGGGACTTTGCTTGCTCAAGAGAAGGTTAAAGAGGGGCAGTCTCATCCAGGCTTTCAAGATAATTTAAGGAATAGATAGTGTAGAGCATGGTAGGTACTTCCAGTTCAATGACAGCAAGAGAGGTAATACTATTTGCGTAAACTGCAGGTGCAGCTCAGGTCGAGACAGGACTCCTTTACTTCTAGGGTGGTGAACACGTGGAATGTGTAAGATGATGTAGTGGCTGCCCCTTCTGTAGCTATTTTTAAGAAGAGAGTAGATGTCTTTATAGACAAAGCAAAAAGGGTGGCATTGTAGATGAAAGGGACTAGGCAGTAAGCAACTAGGATATGCTGAAAAAAAATTACAAAAATATAAATATATTTATCTTTAAGAAGAGTAGGCCCATCCTAATATTAAGGAACACTCGTCCTCAACACGCATCCAAAAAATTGATGCAAGCCTGGACCTCAGTTTTAGGCTGGGAATTTATTGTGTTGGAACAGGAATGAGTTATGCCAATTAGCCTTACAACATGTCACCTGTCTGACTCAATAGGAACTCGGTCCGCCTTGCAATCCGGAAGGTGATGTATGCACCTAGCAAGCAGGGCGAGCAACCATACATTGTTGTGAGCAAGGATTTCATGATGAGTCCCAACCGGCTCCATCTGGAGGCATCTCTGGACAAGGAGGTTTATTATGATCACTGGAATATTTTTTTTTTCTCCCCTATGTGAAAGCAGTGTAAATTTGAGTTTTTCTTCTTTCCAGCTTTACTATCATGGAGAGACCATCAGTGTCAATGTTCACATACAGAACAACTCAAATCGCAGTGTTAAGAGAGTCAAAGTTTCTGGTGAGTTTGAGACCACTGATGAATTTGTAAACTCTGATGATTGTGTTGCGATGACAAGAAAGAGGCATACAATCGTTGAAATGGAGTGACATTTTCCTACAGTAAGATTTTGCCTGTTTGGCTCTTTCCTTTTTTTTTTTTGGTCGGTGAGCTCTGTCTCCCATGGATTAGTACTCACAGTAGATTATGATTCATATTCCAATGGATCTCTTTTATCTGTTCTGTTGGTTTTCTTGGTCTGACTTTTAAATTCAATTAATTTTCTTTGTTTCTCTCCTAGTGAGGCAGTTTGCTGACATTTGCCTCTTTTCTACTGCCCAGTACAAATGCACTGTTGCTGAGATTGAAAGCGAGTGAGTTGGCAACTCCATTCTTTATCTCCTTCTCTAAGGGTACTACTTCCTGGAAATGTCATGGAGACTTAGTTCCATTAATACTAGCACAAAAAGTTTGGAAAGTGGAAAGAAGTGCTGCAAGCAACTCCTTTTGCCCATGCAAGTCCTCTTTTTTTCTACTTGAGCACAAAAGGTGGAAGTCAGCAGATGAAATAAAGAGGTGAAGCAAAGAACTGACACAGGTACAAACTGGGAATTATTTTGAGTTAGATGAAGTAGATATCAGGAACCATTAAAATCCAGAAATTAAGTGACCAAATGCCAAGAATATCAGATCTTAACTTGTAACTTATTTCAGCAAAAGATCCAAGCAAGAGATTTGATATCTGTAAAAGGTTTTTACTGAGGAACCTGTTTTTTTTTCTTCAGAATTCTAAGAAACACTGCAAAACTGCTGGAACATATTAAGTAGTTCTTTACCTGGAATTTAAGGGAGAAAAACAATTCTGTGGTAGGAATGACACATCTGCAAGAAAAGATTTTGAAAACTTTCATTGATCTTAGTCCTGTTTCTTTCTTGAATGCCCCTTGCATCTTACCCAAAGATAATGCACTTTTACCTATCTTGTGAAAAGTGTGATCTTTGCACAAAGATGACCATGAAAAAAAGTTCCCTCCTCTCCATACGCCTATGCTCTATGACAGTCTGGTAAGGTCTGAAACAGCCAGGGCATGAGTTTGGGTGCTTGTTGTATCCAAGTCCCCTAAAATACAAAAAAGAAAATGTTATTGATTCCCCCCCTCAAGGAAATATCAGGAGTTTTGATTATGGGGATGTGCTACTATCATGGTAAGGTTCTTCCTAGCTCCAAGGGAAAGCTGATTATCTTATATTGAAAAAATTTATGGCTCATATTGAGACGGATGGATGTGGGTTCTGTGTAGAGAAGGGTGCCCTGTGACTCCAGGCTTTAACTTGTCCAAAGTGTACTCCCTGAAACCCACATTGACGCCAAATAAGAGTAAGCGAGGCCTGGCCCTGGATGGCCAGTTGAAACACGAGGACACCAACTTGGCCTCCTCCACCATGTAAGTGAAGGCAAGAAGATAATCATTTTCCCACCTCCACCTTTCTTCCACTCATTCCCTACCTCCATGGGCTTCGGGCATTTCCACCTTTCTGGGTCTTCAGTCTTGCTCGTGCACAGTCACGTTCTCCAGTTGGCTCGAGGCATGGTATCTCATCCAGAATCGTGGGGGATTCAAGAACGGTCTAGGTGGGGGGTTTTTAGAAGACAATTGGCATGTTTCTCATCACTCTGTCCCTTTCTCTCCCTTTCTTTTTTCTTGTCTTGGGGTGCCATATGGGTGGTGCAGAGAGGGCTGTCCAATTGGGCCAGGGTTCAATCTGTCAAAGATCTACACCCTCACTCCTCTTCTAGCAAATAACAAGGATAAATGGGGCCTTGCCCTTGATGGTCAGCTCAAGCACGAGGATACCAATCTTGCCTCCTCCACTCTGTGAGTTGCATTCCTCACTTTCTCTCTCTTTTCTTCATAATGCTCCCATGCATGCCCCTCCTTAGATGTTAGGTTATGCTGCATGTCAAAGAACTTGAAGCTGTGCATCTTGTTTTCCATTCTTCCATTTTGCTCTCAGTATCATGGCTCCCTATTGAAGGATCTGTGACATAAAGGAACATTTTAAGAAAAAAAAGCTTATATTGACAATGATGTGCTTTTGCTTGTTTTCAGTATGAATGAAGTGAATAAAGCCATGTGAATGCAATCACAATGCATGTGGATGAAGTCTCCATATCAGCAGTCTGTAGCAGTGCAAGACTGATATTGCTGTTAATATTTGCTCACGGGGAATGACCTACTATAACAGTATCAGTTCTAACAAGAGTATTATTTATAGCACTTCCAGTCCTTGGCTAGTAAACCTCTGTGCAAAACTGTCAGGCATATCATTTTTTTTTAATACCATTGTCTACCCTTCTATTTATGGAATTTGACTTGTGAAGAGTTTCAAAATAATATTTTTCTGATTTATCAAAATTTCTCAAGTGAGTATATGATGTGTTTTTGATCTTGCATATTGGTACTTGCCTTCTCCTTGGCATTCCATAACCACCTAAAGTGAGAATCAAACTCCAGAACAATTTAGCTATGTCCAGTCTCCATGAGAATAGTATATGGCATTCTGATGTTACATTCATGACTGAGTAAATACAAGTATAAATTCTCATGGAGGATTTTTTGCTGTTATAACTCTTGAAAGATACATTTAAATTATTTTCTCAGTTTATAGTTGAAGAGTTACCATTTTGTTCTTATTTTTATAATATGTGTAAGTGTTTTTAATGTCATTCCCTATGCAAACTTTCCTAAAAGACAAATGGAGCTTCTATTTGTATCTGCTGACTGCAAATTTATAATTAATTAATCTACTTTCGAACAAAGTTGCATCTGCAAAAATTTTTCAAGATGCTCCATGATTAATCTTTTTTGGACTAAAAAATCATGAATGTTTGATTTTGAAATGTATATGAACCATATACATGCACTGATCAGAGCAATTTTTTTTTTCTGGCCATGTCATATAGTCACATGGACTCTTGTGGTATTGAAGCCTCTTGTGGCATCATTGAATGTTTCACATTTAAGCAAAATAAAATGAAGAAGTAGAAGGATTTTGGCCTAGTGATTGCTAACTTTGCAATGGTTGTTGATGGTATTTAGTGTAAAGTCAATGCCATAGTCAATATTGGAATGATACCATTATACAGGGTGTTTCATAAAAATGTTTACCATATTGAATTGCCATAACTTCTTTAGTATAATGAACATTCACTTCAAACAAAAACAAAGTTGCAGAGAAACTCCAAAATTTTTGTTCTAATGGATAACAAGTACAAAATGAGCACCTCTAGCTGCAGAACAACCTCAAAGACATCGAGAGAAGATTTGTGTTGCTGCCTTCAGTACTTCCTGTGGAGTGCCTCAAATTGCCTGTTGACTCATTCCCTTGGGTTCTGCAATATCTGGCATGTCCTGAAGGGTTCGTTCTTGCTGTATCCCTATAGGTAAATGTTGAGTGGACTGAGGTCTGGGGATCTTGCCAGCCACTCGATGTCATCTCACTGAGAATTGAGCCACCAAGCGAATCTCTCTCTCAGCCTCTCAAGACAAATATGGGTAGTATGGCAGGTTGCCCAATCTTGCTGGAAAAAAATATTCTGTTTGTGATGCACTTTTGGCCAGAAAAATGTCCTCTTAAGTGTTATTTGATGTGCACAAACATAATATTTTTTTCCAGCAAGATGGAACACCTTGCCATTCTGTCTGCATTTGTCTTGAGTGGCTGAGAGAGATTCACTCAGTGGCTAATTTCTCACTGAGATGATATTGAGTGGCCAGCACAATCCCCAGACCAGTCCACTCAACTTTTACCTATAGGGATACAGCAAGAATGAACCCTTCAGGACATGCCAGATATTGCAGAACCCAAGGGAATGAGTCAACAGGCAGTTTGAGGCACTCCACAGGAAGTACTGAAGACAGCAACACAAAACTTCTCTTGATGTCTTTGAGGTTGTTCTGCAGCTTGGTGCTCATTTTGTACTTGTTATCCATTAGAACAAAAATTTTGGAGTTTCTCTGCAACTTTGTTTTTGTTTGAAGTGAATGTTCATTATAGTACCATTCCATGTTTGTTGCTGTGACTTGAATATGAGTCATAGCTGTACTTTACTGTTTATATCCTCTGAAGGCTTTGGTTGATGTAGCAGGAACTAGGCCATAGATTGTTTATTTTACATACTTTGAAGGTGCTTTTTAACTTTCAACCAGCTGGTGTATGCAAGCTGATAAATTTAATCAGTCCTAACATCTCAAAACTTTTAGGTGATTTTGAAAGCAGGCTTTTGTGAGCAGATGCACATTAGCTATGGTTTTTGAGGACCAAGACTTTTGCCTGTGAATGTTTGCCAAGGAGAATGATTGGCTTCCTGCGTCCTTGTGTATGGTCTTCACTCATTCTCTCTTTCTCTGTGTTGTCTTGTCTTTATGCTATGAATTTGTAGCAAAAAGAAGTATTCTGTGCTGTCTGTTTGCCTTTACTTTCCAATGACACTAATGGGTTTTCTCTCAATTCCTTCCTGCTCAGCATCAATGATCCATCTCAACGGGAGAGCCTGGCTATTGTTGTGCAGTACAAAGTGAAGGTGAAGCTATGCCTTGGTGCTCTTGGAGGGTAAGTCACTCTCTTTGACAATGAAAATTGTTTGACATTTTATTATGTAACCTACAAATCAAAGAGAAAATGAATGTAGTAGGATTCCAGTTTCAACTTTGTAATAGAAGCAGTCATGTTGTTATTCAGTTTTAATCATGACCTTAAAAATGAAGTGAAACCTGAAACTGAAGGGAAGTATAAAAAAAGATGTGAGAGAAACATTATTATAATCAATGTTGGGGTAGGTACAATGGATGATCCAAAAGTTTCTGTCCTAAGGCAGTAGAAATGATTTGTGAAGGCTGAAGAATATTGATTCCCATATTTATTAATTCTGTTCGGTAATTTCAGGAGTCAACAATTGGTTTTAATTGCATTTCTATTTTATTATAAAAGTAAATGGTATTTAAAAATTTTCCAGCCAAATATTATTCCATTTCAACTTGGCAAAAATTGAATAGAGAGCAGTGATGCAATTTTTATTGAAAAGAAACCATTCCATCTGTTCCAAGTTACTAATCAAAATGAAAAAAACTCATTCAATGCTGTGTAATTTTAAGCAAAACTTCCTTTGAAGCAGTTATGAAGGTAAAAATGAAGTCAATGTAGCTGTCCAAGCATTTATGGACAACTATGGAAAAGGAATTTTTCCCCTCGAGATTGAAACCCTGTTCCATCAGTGACACAAGAGTTGATGTCCCGGGAGGTATTGTTGAAAAATAAATTTTGTTTCATCAGAGTATTTCACATATTCTTAAATCTCAGTGCCAAAACTTTTGAACCGTTCCTCATACGTGAACCAAAGCATAATTACACTTGGTTTACTTATCATTAAGCTGTAAGTCAATTTGAATTCAATCTTTAGATTTTTCTTAATTTTATTCTTTGAAGTAAAAGTTGAGTAAAAGATTTCTCAGGAATAAATTCTGGAAAGTTGGCTTGTCGTTGCAAGATTATCAAATAAAGAATTTCTTATTTTGTTTAGTTGTAGTCCAGTGTGTCCAACACTCCTTCCCTGCTGCTGACAGTGAAGTTCTTAATGGGATCCTCTGTTGAATAATTTTTTATGCATCTTTTCTGGCACGGAGGCCCTTTTATTATTGAGTCATGAATGATGCTCTGGAAGTGATGGTTTGATTACTAGCCCTTCATGAGTATGTCCTCTTGAAAGCATATTTTGGAAGGGCATGGGAGATGCATCTCATCAAGTAGCTGCAATGAGCTCCAACTAGAATTTTCCCCTTCTGGCTTGATCATTATTTTCAGGGGGAGTTTCTCTTTTGGGGAGTGGGATCCTCCAAAGCCATGGTACCGTTATATATTGCATAAAGTTGTGAAGTATTACGTTTTTGAAAGACTGATGATATTACGAGGATACCGAATACTGCTTGCACTATTATCTGTTATTGGTTATGGTAGGAGATTGTTTTTTCATCTGAGTGTTGACCCTAGTTATAATTTTGTCCCAAAGGATGAATCACTATGAAGCAATAGGATGTTCTGATTTCCCAAAACCAAGGCAAAAGAAAAGGACCATGTTTCTAGAAAGACAATGAGTACGGCTGGAAGGGTGCCAGATGGTTTGCTTTTGAAAGGAAGTCCTGGGGACCTATGATAAGAGCCAGGCTGAAACCATGTATTCTCTCACGTCCATGCACAAGAGAGAGAATCCTCTTCTTCACGGGTCACATGGTAAATGGATGTATGATTATGTTGTAGGGATTTGGTGGCAGAGCTTCCATTCATGCTGATGCATCCGAAGCCAGTAGAGGAGACTGGTCCTCCAACACGTTCCCCCTCCATGGTTGAACCCACTAAGGACTCTTCCCCATCTGAAGTCCCTGTTGACACCAATCTCATCCAACTTGAGTTTGTATTCCTTTTTTTTTCATTTCATGCACCCTAACTGGAGTCTCTGAGATGACCATTCAGTTATGCAGTAAGGTTCCTTCGTACTAGCTTTATTCAGGAATTTAGGTTTGCTCTATTTGTAAACTTTTAGTAGTCACAATGATGGACCCATTGTCACCTGTGGCAGATTATTTAAATTGCCTCCATTCCAAAAGAAACTTCCAGGCAACCTGGAATGTTCCTTCTGGGAACACATCAGCATTTCAAATAAATGCTGCAAAAGGGTTGTGCTACTAATTAAGCAATCAGATCTTAGTCTCATAAAGTGATTCCAATTTCTAAAGGATATCTGATAACATTTGGTTTATGCCATTGCAAATTCTTGATCCCTAAAATTGGCTAAATGATACTGGGTGGACCTTAAATATTCTTACCACTTGTAACTTTCATACTTCTGTAGGCCTAAAATCAGCCAAGAAAAAAATATTTCATACCTCTATGTGAGCTCCTCTTTGGTGGCCAATCTTGGCTATTTTAACAAGAATTCTTCTCCACCTAAAAATGGCTTGATATTGAAAATTTTGTCTTCACCATGAGATGATTAAAGAATGCAAAAAATGATCTCCTTACAACCCTGACCGTAACCAAATGGATTAATGTATGCAAAGTCTGCTGGAATCAGTGCTCAAAAATGAAATCCAGCATCCTGAACCAGTTATGGTTTGTGTTGAAAGAGGGGGAAACCATGTCTGTCCAGTGCGATCGACCAACAGACTCAAAGATTCCAGGTGGCTGTCAAGAAGAACATATTGAAAATTTATTTTGGGAATAGTTTCTGTGAGCCCTTGTGTCTTGTTGAGATTCATTGGATTCCATGAGAAGTTATTAGTATGGGAAACAAAAGGCATTGATTTGGTGTGTATATTTATGGCCCACCCTGTAATTGATGAAAAGTTATAAATATAAGTTATAAATATAATAAATTATTTGACTGATTTTTACCAATTATTTTGGATGGAACTTGTAAACTTTCTTGTAAATGAATGCATCTTTTACTCATTTGTGAGGAGATATTGCCTCTGAATAGTTCTCATTTCATTTTACTTGTGGCTATAGCCTACAATGTGTGCCAGATTGTCAAGGATTTTTTAATCATTTATCCAATAAGCTTGAGGTACTTTATTTCTGATTTTATATTCAAAAACAAAGTTAAATAGCTAAATGGAAAGCCTCATGACAATTAATTGAGGATAAAGCTAGTTCTTTTTGTGGCTGTTAAGGGTAAAATTGGCTTATTTGGAAAATTCCAGATATCAAATGTACCATGACAGCTTAAGGTAGGTAGTCAAATTAACCTATGCGACCTTGCATCTGCAAATGTATTTTGCAGACATGTGAATATCATTGCTCAGTCTGCTGAAGTTTCTCTATGGAGAGTTGTGTTTGGTCTTGTTTCTTCTCATTGATTCATAGTTCTTCTTGGAAGTTTGTCATTAAAGATGCCCCGATCCCAAATTTTTGCCATTGCACCATTACCTGGTCAGCTTATGCCAGTTCTGATTGGCCTGGCCTACAATGGTCATTTCATAAGCAAACTGTCTTTGTGGGTTTATCACATAGTAGCAGACTGCTATTATGCCAAATGATGGAATGAAAGACTGATGCTAATGGTCAATGAAAGAAAGTAACTCAAAGCAGAAGGAAATTCTGAGACCCTGTTCTATCTATCCAGGGCTTGGATTCCTCTAATAGTGAGATTTCTCAATGCCTTGTGCAACTTGTGCATACCTTTCCTCACTCACAATCTCTCTCTTCCTCTCTCTGTTCATCCTTCATCTCCCACATCAATAGATACAAAATGTGGCACATTCTTGTGAGTTGTGCACAGACTACTAGAACTTGGAATAGGGCAATCTCTTATTTGACCTTGTAATCTTTCCCTTGTATGACCTTTAGTGCCTCTAAAGTATGAACTGATGTGAGTCCTGTGTACTTCACATGGGACTTCAGAATTGGTGGTGTTGTTGCTTTAGTTGCTAAGAATAAGTGCTTTCATGAACCATCAGAAAGGTGATTGAGGCTGATGTTTGTTTTCCTTACAGGGATGATAATGAACATGATGACATAATTTTTGAGGACTTTGCCCGCCTGAGACTAAAGGGGGAGACAGATGCCTAGCTCACACATCCTTCACCCAGTTCGAATTGTACGTGTCTCTCTCTCATCATTCAGATGGTGTTCAAATAGGTGTTAATGATGCACATGGTACACTTATTTACTGATATATAAACCTATGTGAATTACTTCTCTATGCAGTATCTCTTTGTTTAGCTGCAAATTTGCATTAACAGAGAAACTAGTGGGTTCTACTGTCTCAGTGAGTGAGTTCTACTGTCAGTCACCTTATGGGCTCAATTGACAGGCAAATTGCTGTTATTTCTTTTAAATGCAGGTTGTGGATGTGGATGTGAGGTGCTACACCAGAGGAGACTTCATCCAACAGATGAGGGAAGGACAAGAGTGCAGAAGAAGTAGTTCTTTTTTGCACGTGCAATTGATGACAGTGTGTGCTTGATGCTTGATGTGATGAAGCCCCTCAACTCCCCCACTCACTCCTCTCTGCATATATTTGCTTACTATTATTTTTTAAGCTTTTTTTTCTTGCAAACCTGTTTTCATTGCATTACTGCTTGTCAGTTGCACAGATTCCATGCTATAATGCACTTCAGGCCCTGGTTTCAGGAACTCAGGGACATTGATATCAGAAGATTTCCTGCAGTGCTTGTTCCTATCCAATGAGAGCAACTACTTTTGCATTCACGGATGTCATCACCCCAAACAGGGACTTGCACCAGCTTCCCATGGCCATCAGTTAAGCACAGGAACAAAGATGGCCTTTTCCTTGCCATCTCATGGGGGATATTGCAGGCGATATTCGAGATGGGGGAGCTGTGCTTCTTTTTTATATGCTTTGATGAATTCAAACATTCAATGTTGCTTGTGAGTCCCTTCAATCATTTGCATTCCTTTTTTTTTTTTTTTTTTACTGCAACTTGTGATTTTACACCCAAGGGTTTTGCAGTTTTGTACGGATCGATGTCCATGTCTGCATTCTCTATCTGATGATTGAGTGTAATGCCATCCTCTATCCATAATTTCTTGTGATTGTCCTCACTCAAGTTGGCGGATCCTCATGTCCTTGTCCATCCTCGAGTCAAGGATCCTCTTGTTCCCATCAGTGCTCTTGCTTGCACAGAGGTCCCAGCTCAAAGCATCTTTTTTTTTCCCACTGCTTTCAGTCCATCTTCATCATCATGACTTCTCTGAGGGATAATTGTTATTGGTTGCAAAGACTCCCAATTTTGAGAAAACAAGGTCACAGTAATTATTGTCGCAAGAAATTCCTAGTTTAATGAATGTCAGCATTGTAGTGAATCCTCCTATGCTTCTGAGAAACGTTGGTGACTTGTGTCGTGCTTGAAATATCCAAGTCGTAAAAGATGATTGAGTATTGATGTTTGTAAGGCACTTGTTGATCAAAGTCAATCACTTGCATTAACATTGCAGAACTTTTGGTGTAATGCATGTCCATGCAGAACAGTTCTTGTTGAGTGTTTATATGAGTTTCCCCAGCCTGATTGGTATTTTGTGAAGTTCTTCCCATGTGAGATGGTAAATGATGCCCAAACTTCATATGCAAATTGTTCTGAGTTCTTTCGTGACTTGTTAAAATCCCTTTGCATTAAGGGGAATCCAAGTGCTCATGTGCTCAAAATACTCAGTCACGGTTCATTACCCCCCCTTGATTCATTCTTGTGTCTGAAGTGTCTTGTCACTGATGAATGCCTGCACAGGGTACATGATTTGATGTTGATGTGATCTCCCACTCCTGCAGGGCCATTCCTCTCCCTTTGTTTCCCAGAAAAGTTTTTTTTTTCCAATATTAAAGGCGAAGTTCAGGTATGATCAATTAATAATGAACAAAGCAGCTCCTATAGTCACAGAACACAAAATCACTATTCCCATTTGAATCTGTGGGTCATGCGTGCGCTTTCCCACTCTTTTAATCGCTTTTGTACATCAGTACTTTATATGTTTGGCTTGCATTTGATTGCTTTCGGGAGTGAAGGGCTTTTGATCCACTTTGCGAGACACAGCATCTATCGCCACAAAGGGATTTCGATTTCATTCCTTTGACATTTTGTGCGAATCACTTCTCTCTTCATTGACTGCCAACCTGACAAATTCTTTTTTATTTCAAATGACGCTCGAAGGCGATGCACACAGATCAAAAGTGGAAACAGGCAGGCATGCTTGTGACACATTGTGCCATTCTTGATTTTTGTATGGCAGAAAGCATGGCTAAGAAAAAGGATCTTTTTCGATGAGAGATATGAGTGATGTTCCAAGTCTACTTTCAATGTGATTTTGACGTGTCGGAGAAAGAGAAGAGATGAGGAATTTTTACACAATTTGCATGTTGTGTCTCCCTCTCTCCACCTCGTATGAGTTTTTTTTTCCCTTCATGACTGTTTCCTCTGTGAAATAAAGCATGATTCTCTGCTGGTGGATTGCGATTCGAGGGATTCTTCTCCCCCCCCCGGAGAACAAAAACGTTTGGCCTCCAGTTTCTGGAGCGGGGGAGTCCATGATAAACATTCACCATCTTTGCCCTTTATTTTTACTTTTAAAGGTCGATGCTCTCAAAGGCACTTGGTGTCTCATTGGTCCAATGTGAAGCCTTGCACATGATCTAAACTAATCTAAAGCATTTCAGTGAATCAATTGAAGGGATAAGTCACAAATTCGGAAGAAATGCAGCATCAAGTTTTAGGTTTTTGCCAGAGGGCATTGGGACTCGTCAAATTTTGGAGATGGGGAAACAAATTTTCGGTTGAGGAAAGAAAAGGCAGTCTCCCTTTTCTGCCAAAGGAAACCATTTTAACGAGGTTTCTCTCGCAAATTTAGTATTTTGCTATTGGAATATTAACATCTTACCAAGTCTGTTTCGAGATTTTACCCATGTGTTTATCATTTCTAATATTTATTTCATACAGTGTATAGGACTTGAACACCTTACTTCCTGAAGTATATGCACCACTGTGCCGAATAATTTTCATTTCACCAAACTTATTGGTTCTTTCTAAAAGTTTATTTCGTATACCTTATGAGGCAAGTGATGGACTGGTTGATGAGAGGCTCGCAGATGTGTAAATGGCATGAGGCTTTGTGAAACAGATTTGTTGATAAGTTAACCTTTGCATGGCAAAAAAGAAAATTATGAACACCGCCTCCATTGTTTTGTAATTGTTTCAACAACTAGGAAAGAAAGCAGGCCAAAACGACTTAATAAATGCTGTTTCCAGATCCTCATTGGTTTGGGTATACATCTCTTATTTGTTAAGGAGTCATTGGACTGGGATTGGGAGATTTTAAAGCGCGGAACCCCCAGGATGAATCGTCTGATCCGGCGGTATGCATCAGTGGCGCTCGTAATCTTGTCGGTCGTTCTCCTTTGCGTCTTCCTCAAGACCCGTGGGACCCTGGAGGACCTGACCGAGGCAGGGAAGTGCCCTGCCTGCTTCGGGACGAGCCTCTGCCCGGACGCGGAGGAGGGTCGGCTCCGTCTCTGGGGTCGTTCCTCTGCCTCGCTTCTCCCCGCCTCGCTCCTCTCCGCCACACTCCTCAACGTCCGCAACGTCTACTGGGGCGTCTGGACCGTGCAGGACTCGTTCCGGGGGGACAAGGACATGCCGGTCGTCTTTAAGAAGCTCGCACACGACTCGGAGCTTAGAGAACTCGATCGCAGGTTTGTTGCATGCGGCTCGATTTCTCATGGAAGATAACGCAGAATTTTCCGGGAATTTCAAAGTTTTTTTCCCTCCCTAAAGGTGAGCGTACAATTAATGCGATATATGCTCATGTAAATGATGTCCAATATATACAGGGTGTCTCAAAAAAATGTATACACACTTTAATAATTAAAAAATATATGTTAAGTAATTCAGAGAGGTTCAGTGTGTGGAGAAGCAAGGGTTTGAATTGCATGGTTCACTACCACAGATGTTCAAATTGTTCACCGTTAGCATCCAGGCACTGTTGACAGTTGACTGTTGGTGAGGTCTATCAGAACATTGTGCATTACCGTACTAGGAATGTTCTGGGAGACCATGCACTGTACCATCAGCATCAAACTTATGAATCCTTGAAAGTTCTAGTACATCATGGTGGCATAGTTGGAAGTTCATTTCTCCACCTTCTTTGCACTTCACATGTGTTCTCAGATTTCCAGAATCACTTCAAAATCAACTTACATTGCTCTAAGGTCAAGTGAGCTTGATCTGGCAATTTTCCCACTGTCTCTTGGGAAAAAATTGCCTGATGACACGCGATCATTCCATGACACATTGAAATCTTTTAGGTACTGTACATGTCACATTAAACATCGTCCCTCTCTGAATTATTTAATATATACTCGATTCAAGTGTGTATACATTTTTTGAGACACCCTGTATTTATTTTCAGCTAAATTTATTCTCTGAAAGATGACACGAACCACTTGTCTGGGGGAAAAAATTCCCAAAGTTGTATTTTAAGGGGTTAATTTTGCCACTGATACTGCAGGGCTTGCGTTTACGCGCAGATGTGCGTCTTATACGCACAAAATTCCGAAGGGACGCACAACAGTAAAACATCGGGATCCCAGGGACGCGCGGGAAAGTTCTAGATTTTCTGATTGGTTTTCAGACCAGTTGGCAGTAGCCTCTTTGAATCGTGCCTAAATAAACCCGTGCGCAACCTTATTAGTGACAGAAAGGGGGGGGGGAGTCCTTGCCGAGGAAGGTGCGCGACGTGAAAGTGATGAGATCGGCGCATGTTGCATTGTGTTCACGCGCTCATGACGTATTTCCGTTCGTTTCAATTAAGACTTCAGGGCGGTTCGGGCCAACAATCCTCTCGTTCAGTTACAAGCGGAAAATGTACGATGTTAGTTTATTCGAATCACACGTTGGCATACGTTCAGATGTTCCTGAACGTGGGCCTAGTGACATATAAAGAAAGGTATCAACAGCGTAGGTATAAATTCTAAACGAAGGTGATGTCATCCTTCCACTTAGGGTGCACAGAGAAGAGAAGATCGCCGTAGGCTTTGACCTAGTCAAACCGAAGGGAAAGAGATGGAGGTGGGCGATTATGAAAATGGGCAGCTTGTGAACCATGAATCACGACGAAGGGAAAAAGATTTTTAAAATGAAAAAGGCGTGGGTCAACATGTATTCCTGGCTTTCCCATAGAGATGGAAGAGCTTCCTGTGATTTCTGCTCAAATGTAAATAAGAAAAATTCCTACTCAGCATCTGGCAGTGGTAATATGCAGAAGTTTGTAATTTGCAAATTTGAATATGCCCTAGGGATATTTGTCAAAGAGAAAATGTTGGTAGTAGTCCTAAGGCTGCTGGATTGAATATCATGCTTTTGGTCATGTTAAATCAAAGAAAAAACATTGTGGGATTTGGAACTTTTTGTGCAACTTTGCGAGATTTCATCACGCTTCAATTGCGATGAGACCCCAAATTTTTCTGAATGACCCTTTCTTATAAGACTTGAGAGTCCTGGGGATCCTTAAGGCAAGAAAATTAGCGCAAGCCCTGATACCATTTGGCCAAAATGCGAAACGAGGAAAAGAAATGAGTAAGCGTACAACTTCGGCACGATTTCCGCGACGCCGTGAAGAGCCCTCGCCCCTCTGACGCGCAGGATCTGCCAGGCGGCGAACATGTCCTCCGACTGCGACGTCTCGACCGCCGGGACGCGACTGAGCCACAGCCTGGACGGCGACTGGGACTGGGACCGGGGACTGAGCCTCGTGAAGGCGCTGGCGGGCCCCACGCGTTCGTCTGACCCTTCCCCCCTCGCCTGCCCCTCCCGACGGCTCCTCACCTCCATGCGGACGCTGTTCCTCGGCCTGGCCCAGGAGCCCCTGGGACTTCCCCTCCTGCTGCTCCTCGCTCTCAACCCGGAGCCGATACTCCTCGAGGTTCGTTTCCACTTGTTATCCCGTGCCAAACGGGTGGGAGCGGAGGTTCGTCGATCGACGAGAATATTAATATTTTAGTACCAAAAAATTATGCCAAAACAAATTTGTTTTGGTTCTTGAACCCCTCCGACGTTATCGCCTTTTTTCATGTGATCGGCATCGCCCTGTGCCAAAACTGTTACACCTAGTGGCTTGACACGAATCGCTATCTGAGTGATAAGTTCCAAACTCAGTACTATTCCCTGGTTTGGCCGGAGCTTGCAGTCTTAGAAGCCGTAACACTGAACAGAACTGAGAAAATTGTCAGTGCACAAAACCACTCCTTGCAATCCCACTCTCCAGATGATGAACGAGGACCCCGGAGGCCACGTGCCGCACGTGTTCGGGTACTGCGGGCGAGTGGTGGTGGTGGAGGACGCCGGGGACCCCCTCTCTGGGTTCCTCCGGTCCGATTGGGGGACGCGGGCGGGGCTAGCCGTGCAGCTCCTCGACCTCGCACGAAGGCTCTCCCCGGCCGTGGACGGGTTCGCGGTGTACCTCATGGATCTCGGCTACGACAACTTTCTCGTCGCGGAGGGGAGACTCCGACTCGCGGACGTGGAGCATGTCGTCGTCGTGGACACTGCTGTTCCTCCTGATCACGGTGGGTCTTGCCTTCGAGGGGGAAGGGGGGAAAGATGTGTGATGTGTTTGAGTCGTCTGGGCGAAGAAATTGGCATTCTTGAAATCGATGGAATAAGGGTTTCCAACCAATGGGTTTGAGAAAAGCTGGAGTTCACCATCTCTCTGATATCAGGCAGTGATAGTAGACTACCGATGTGTGTTTTCGTGGTTACAAAAGAACGAATGGAACGCAAGCTGTCACTGCCATTGTCACATCTACGTGAAGAAGTGTTTACAAATGTGAATTTTGTGTTATGCAGTGGGAAAGGAGACGTGGGAGACGGAGCACAAGAGTGACCCGGACTTGTGCGACGGCTGCCTCGGTTTCAGACCCGAGGACCTGTGCTCCCATCGCAGCAGCGACCACAACTTCTATGCCGTCTGCAGCGTGAGTCCATTCCTCATGTCCATCTCTCGTGTCGTCCGACGAAACGACTCGTCCCACCAATCGGAAGACAAGCACAAGTGACTGAAAAAGCACCTTGTCAGATGTCAGATGCTTAATGAGATTTTTCAATATCTGGATAAGTTGCAAATCATTTCCCTGGAGACATGTGCCGCAACTTGTCCTTAAGGTGCATGTATTTATCCTAATTGGATGTCTAAGTTTGCTCTGAACTTTTGCTCTGAACTTTTTTCTCGAACAGACCGAGCTTCGCTTCCACCTCCTTTTGCTTTCCATTATAGCAAGTGCTTGGAAAGTCGCGGGAAGGCGCGGGTCTTCTGTGGGACTCGGAGAGTCGAGGGACTCGCGTGTCCCGGTCCCTGAGGTCGTGCATCCGGCCCGGCCCCGGGGAGACGAGACGGGAGGCTGCGGATGCCCTTCGCCGATCCCTCCTCGTCGCAGATCCCACGTGACCCCTGGAGGCTGCAGAGCCCGTCGTCGAGAACTTCGCGTGACCCCTGGGGGCTGCGGGGCCCGTCGTCGCGGATCCCACATGGTCCCTGAGGACTGCAACTCCCGTCGTCGCGGATCCCACATGGTCCCTGAGGACTGCAACTCCCGTCGTCCCGGATCCCACATGGTCCCTGAGGACTGCAACTCCCGTCGTCGCGGATCCCACATGGTCCCTGAGGACTGCAACTCCCGTCGTCGCGGATCCCACATGGTCCCTGAGGACTGCAACTCCCGTCTCTGCGACGCCGAGGGGGTTTCCTCGTTCCCAAGGATGTACACATTCTGGGAATTTAAAGGTTTGGGTGCATTTCCATGCACTCTGTTAGAACGAAGCTTAATGTATTATACGTCCAACCGTAAATGAAACTTGAAAGGCTTGGGAATCAAGGGAATAGCAGATAAGTTCCTGGAAAGTCCCCAAGTTCCACGTAAGGCTTTTGCTTGCTTGTGCTTTTGAGATATTAAATTAATTACTCTTGACGTGCTGCCATTCAGTTGATGAGGACTCTTTGAGTGAATTTATGCACTCGTTGAAAAGAAAAAGGAGCACACTCGAAAGTCCGTTGCGATTTCTTTCAGAGCCCAGGGGAATTAAAAGTTTCAGTGACTTCCTTTTTATTTATATATATATATTTACATTTATTTAATTGTGTGATGTACTCCAGTACTTTAAACGCTGGAAAGCACCAGTTTAAAATTTGCACGAATTCTTTCTTCAGTTTTGGGTGCCCTTTCGCCTTTTGAGGAACTGTAGAAGATTCTGCACACTGTTGGGACAGAGTTGCAAAGGATGAATTTCTTTTGAGATCTTGTTCTCGCGTGTTTTTTCTCTTCGGTTCCCCGAAAATTGGCGAGGTCGCAACATTTTATCTTCAGGGTCAACTGTGCCAAACCTTGAACTGCACATTCATGGAGCTTATGTAGACGTTTTTGCAACTTTTTTATGTTGTCTTTTATGCTTGAATGTAGCTGTTTCATTCGAATGTGATCTCTGCGCATTTTCAGTCGCGCCTTCCGGCCAGTTTTTGTCTCATTTTCATTGCAATGAAACTCTCGAAAATAAAGACGTTTTATAAACGTTCCTTTCCATGATTTAGTAATGCAGGGTGTCCCAGAAGGAGGTACCCATTTTTATTTCTTGAATACACCAAGCATGCACAAACTTTGAGTCGAAACTCATATTGAACAGGAAGAGTAATCTTTGAAGTTTTGTTTAGTACTGAACTTATACTCCTTCAACGTTCACTTTTCAATACACTTCTGGAGACGTTGAACAAAGTTGTCCATAACTTTTGCACAGATGACAGGTGATATGCTCTGAACAGCAATAGTGATGCGATCCCGTAGGTCATCCAAGGACTGTGGAGGCGTGGCATAGACTGTCCTTGACGAAACCCCGCAAAAAAATTATCACAAGGTGTCAGGTCGGGGGATAGTTGGTATTCTCTCTACAATCGCCACACTTTCACAAACTTCCATCTTACGCCTTTCTTCCAAACTCAGGTACCCTGCCTGACACGGTTCACTCCTAAAAAAAAAGTGTCATCAATGAAGGTTTATAAAAGAGGACAAGTTGTATATATATCAGATGAAACTTGGAAGACCATTCTTCCTATCCCTTTTAAGTTTTGACCAAAAGCTCGTGTACGTTCGGTGTATTCAAGAAATAAAAATGGGTACCTCCTTCTGGGACACCCTGTATATTAAGATGGTTTAAATTTCATCTTCTCGTAAAGTTTAAACTAATGAGGTGGCTGTCGGAGTTATTTTTGCCATACCAAAATGGGGCAAGAATGCCAGGAGGATGCAATATGAGTACAGCAATACCCCGCTTAGCGCTCATGATGCGTTTCTGGAAAAGAGAGCGCTAACTGAAGCAGCGCTAAAAGGGGTCATTATTAAGTACCATTGTATATATAAAGATGCAAATCGAGCTGTGAATATTCTGACTCATAACTTTTGACTTATACTGTATTTTGGATGTTTTTCTTTTTTTTGTTTCGGTAAAAATTTCTCTCTCCAGGATCAAGAGCGCTATAAGGAAACAAAGAAAAATACGGAGTAGCGCTAATTGGGGTATTACTGTATTTTGAACAAAATTGGCTCGAATCGCGCATTCTTGGAATGCACACTTTTGATATACTAAGGAAAAGTACCAAGACCGATATTGTGGCTTAAATGAAGATTGATTGCTTTTGCCGTCACATATTTTGAGCCTTAAGTACGACGACAGGACCTCTCTTCGTCTGCGTTATTCCTGTTTGGAATAACGCTGACACGGAAGTAAACCGCAATAACGAGGACAAGGAATGGGTAGAAGGGGAACAGAGACGACACGAAATTGCGTCGACAAAATGAGGTGACACCATTTTTGAGTCGGTGCAAAGCGACCTCGTTCCACTTTTGTGCCTTTTGACAGCTTCATCTTCTATAGCAATTTGTTTGCGTTGTGTATGTATAAACTCAACAGCCTTCTGAAACCCTATTACCTTGCACGTAATTTTAAATTTCAATTTGGCGTTTTCTGATGTCAGTCCGAAAATTGTTTCGATGTTTTCCTTTTGGAAATGGGTTGTTTTGAAATCATTATTTGCCTCACTGCTTTAATAGTTCCGCTTCATGAAGTACGTAACCGATAACCGAAATCGTCGAGATATCTCGACACAGGATTCAGGAGGATAATCCTGTACAGTGAACTTCGATATCTAGCTCATCGCCTACTCTTTCCGCCAATCTTCATAAGCTTTTGACAGGCGATGTCCCGTTATAGCGCCACCCTCGCAAGCCGCCTTCCGTCAACATCGTTATTTGTACAAAACGTGCTTTTTTCCACGTAACTCCTCCCACCGCCAAGCATTATGCCTGCCGCAACTCTTATCCAGTACTGAACACCGCTAAATATACAGGGTGTTCCAAAATTAGCTTTTCAACTTTAAACCTTAATAAAATACGAATAGAATAGCATTTAAAGATAGAGTTTCTTTTATTGTAAACAGCACCTCTCAAAGTTTTATTATCAATATTAGTCCACCTCTATGTGAGCGCCTCTTGTCACTCTTAGCACATCCAAGCGATATTCGATTTCTTGCCATATTCGACTTAGCATTTCGATGTCTATGGTCTCGATGGCAGCTGCAATTCTGTCCTTTAGTTCCCGCAGATCCTTTGCTTTTACATGACCCCACAAGAAGAAATCGAGTGGGAGTATGTCCGGTGAGCGTGATGGCCAAGGAATTGGGCCTCTCCGTCCTATCCATCTTTCAGGGAAGTGTCTGTCGAGAATATCGCGCACTTGCTCACTCCAGTGCGGGGGAGCTCCGTCCTGCTGAAAAATGACGTGTGGTTGAAGGTCTTCTATCTGAGGGAAGGCAAATTGCTCCAACATATCTGAGTAATTATCAGATCTTATAGTGGGTTCGGCGAAGAAAAAGGGGCCAAACCATGCAACACATTGTACTTTTTCCTGAGGGGTGCTCATTTTTAAAACTGTTCTTACAAGTTCATAAATAAAAACCTGAAACAACGAGAAATGAACATTATTAAAACTTTGGGAGGTGCTGCTTACAATAAAAGAAACCGTATCTTTAAATGTTGTTCTATTCATATTTTATTAAGGTTTAAAATTGGAAATATAATTTTGGAACAACCTGTATATACCTTTCCGACAAAAAACTGAGCGTCGTAGGCAAAGAAATCCTTTGAGGTCCCGAATCCCGAGGCTGTCTGGCCCTTCTGACTCCCACGTTCCCTATGACCGTTCACCTGTCTCATTTCCCACCTTGCTAGGACAGAATTCAGTCATAGAAAGGCCATACGAGTGTGGGCCTGACTCTGCCTCGAACGGGGCTCGAGATTCCGGGCGATTTTCTCTTTCCCAGCCGGGGATACCCCACCGCTGTTTTCATTTATTATTAAATGGTAAATTTGCTGCTACTGTGAGGTGGCTCCTACCGATGGAATGGATAATACAAAGGACAAGTACAGAGTTTCGGATGGCATATCGTCTTCGCGTCCATTTCGTCAATTTTTTATCGGAAGATTCCGGTATCGCGGTCACCGGCATACTGCGGTTCGTTCGACATATAACGTCAAAGTTGACGAAGACCAACAGCAGCGCCACATCGAGGGTTCACTCTTCATATTATTGCCGATACACTCTCCGGGATGTCGCTGAAAACGCTGGTACCATCAACGCTGTACGAGGAAATTCTCAAATCTGAAGGTTTTCTCACTTGTAAAAGGGAGTAAACGTTGGAGCATTAGTAACGTCTCTGTTGTAAGAAATAAGAGTACATAGGACCCAACTCCGCACAAATCCGACTCCACAAATGCAAATTTTCCTCACGAATAAGCACGAATCCGAAGACCCTTTCAAGCGTGGCTAAGGGGCGGGTCCCGTGTGAAGTAATTTCCCTCCGTCTAAATCGAATATCTTCCTCGTTTCTCCGAATTGGAACCAATTACCAATTTACTCCATCCCAGGCTTTAAGAGATGCCAGTCACTTTTAATGGGAATTTAAATCAGAGCATGAGAATTCCCGCAGAAATCTTCTAGTTGCAGACAATATTAT